TTGAAAATAGAAAGCCTCTGTTTAGATTGAACTTACTATCATCTAGAAGGTATGAATATTCATATCCCAGATCCTTGCTGGAGATGAAGAAGTCTCTGTGTCTGTGGAGGGGCAGGAAGGGCACCATGTGGGCGTCGCCGTTGTGCCCTATAGGTGCATCAGAGTCTGGAAAATCTGACGGAGACGGTCTGTACCTCCTGAGCCACTGCTCGTAAATGCTTCCATAGACAAAGAAAATGATGCAAGTGTGAAAGTGTACTCAAATATAAAAGGTGTGTCGTATGTGTGTTTCTCACCTGTCAACAAAAGCGTGGTGGAGAAGAAATATGGGGTCATTTGCTGAGCCCTGCACTGAAGACATGGATCCGTTCATGAACACGTGGAGAGCAGCATGCAACCCCCTTCGAGGACTGTTCCCTATTCCAGTCTGAGAGTCCCCGAATCCTGCAAGAGGACAGGTATTTACTGGTTAATTGGCACTGACAAAGGTGACAGCAGCATGTTATAAACATCAACAAATTAAAATTAATAGAACTTTATTGGGGGGGTGGGGTGTGTGTCTGTGTTATTTGTTTGTTTGAGGTCAAGCTTATCTGACCTTCCATAGTGTTCCTGAAGCTCATGTTGGCACTGCGGTCCATGGCTCCGGTATCATAGTCGGTCAGACTGAGAGCGAACTCCACCTCTGCTGAAGTTGGTATTCGTTCAACCACCTTACGGTTGTGGTTTCCAGGGTTACGCCGCAATGGGCCTTCTTCTTCAGCATTACACAACACACCCCTGTTACTGTAGTCCTCTGCTCTGGAGCACAGCACCTGTTGATGGAGGCACTAGGTGTCATATTGCAATACAGGGCATGAAGCAACCAGCCTTCATGCCCTGTATTGTATCCCAAAAATAAAGTAGGTCGGATGTTGCAAATTATATTTTTGCTTCTTGAAATTGGTTACACTGAGTTTGAAAATGATCCTTATATTAGGTGTTCTTTGTAAGGTTGGTTGATGTCAAAGTATCCCGCTTCCAGGCGAGAAGGAGGAAGGCAAAGTATGTTATACAATCCTTTTGATCAAAACAGATGTTTTTACGCATTCATTCAAAAATAAGTGATTTTGTGATGGACCAAAAATGATTATGTAATGATCTTTAAGTAAAAACGTCTAAATGTGTTAAGATCAAAGCCAACTCTTTAGACGACTAAAACCTTTAATACTTGAACTGAAAAGTCATCCACTAGTTCACTTAAAAGCCTATCCACTTTTAACTCTTAAGCTCCTTATGCATAACATCCCTGTTTACTTTTGCAATGGCTGTCTACCAAAAATATATATTATTGTATTTATATTATCTATATGTTGTATTTTTCCCTATAGTTTAACTTTGCAATATGTTACATCTTAGATTCCCTTTTATGACACAAGTGATTTTCGTTGTATGCATTGGCTAATTATTGAGCATTGTTTGTTAGATAGAGATCTGTAGACTACCTCTTAGGCATAGGTTATTCATTAACTAAAATCTTGAAACTGTATTACTGTAAGACATGAAAAAGGGAAGAGGAGAAACATGGAGAAAACACAGAACAAAACAAACGTTGTCACACCCAGACTGGAGAAGTATCTCAAATATGTTTACCGTCCAAGAAGAGAACACGGAGCCTGGGCTGAGCAGACTGGGGTCATGAGGGCTCCGGTCCCCCATCAGCTCGTCTGTGCACACGTCACATCCCTGGGCATCTCTCCAGTCCCAGTACGGGATGGTGAAGCTCATGTCTCCGGTCAGCTTCCTGATCTCATGCTCCCAGTGCAGCAGGTACACACGGTGCCATGGGAGGAACCCCGGCGCCCAGTGGGCAAAGTCCACATCGGTCCACACATTCCCCGGGCCGCCGAGCAGCGCGTTACGGGACACATAGTAATGCATCCACACAAACACATCATACACAGACACATCAGCAAACATCGGGTTGGAGCCGTTTTCCATCTCCTGGTAGGTCCCGGTGACCACTACATAGTCCCGGCTGACCGTCTGCTTGACCAAGTTCAGGTAAGAAACAAACCTGATCTTCTCGGCCCGGGACAGGTGCAATATGTTCCTCCTGACGGACTCTCTCCTCTCATTGCAGTTCACACCAAAGTATCCGAACTTACAGTCTGCGCAGTTGAAACCCATGAAGTTCCCTGCGCACTGGCAAGTCCGGTTGAAGAAAACCAATGGCCACTTTTCCCTGTCGTCCAATCCGGAGAAGGGGTACTGCGGCCCGTGAGGCCGGTCCGGCACCTCCACATCCTCGCAGGAGCCCCGGCCCGAGGTGGCTCCGCATGGCGTGCCGTCCCCTCCCCAGGACGGGCAGCACTCCTTTGTGCGCAACACTTCCCGGGTGGCACAAAGACGGGGAAATTGTTGATATGACGGTACCAAACACAATACGAAACTAATAATTACAAGTTGCCACATTTCAGCTAGGTTCTATTTGAAGACTGCAAGTAGGAACGAATACCCACATTGAATAAGGTCCAAGTGAATCTTTCCCAAGCTTAAACTGTTTAACCCATGCGCCCCCTCCTCTCTGTCGAGCCAGTCACATGCCGCTTAGCCTCAGGGTGAAGCTTACTTCATGAGGGGGCAATTAGAATAAATGCAAACATCCCGAGACTTCAGCGAAACTACTTCCACTGAGGCCCATGTGTTGTAATAACAAAGATGGCACAGTTGTTTTCCGAGTCATGAGGGTAAAACTGACATAACCCATGATGTCTCCACACCACACACACATAACCGCAGACACATTATGCCTCAAATAAAGTAAACTGTTATTCCTGGCATTATGGGATGTAACTAATTACCATGATAAAACGCGGACTACAGAGTGAATGAGGAGTGAAATAAAACACAGGGTTTGTATAGGTTCACATGTGTAATTACTTATTTGTATAAATAGTAGGCCTATGTTTTTTAATAATGTTGTTAAAGGCAAATGAAATCAATATCATCCAAAAATGTATTATTTAACTTTAAACAGCCAACATATTTACACTCTGCAGTTAGGTATAAAGTATTGAACAATAAGCCCCTGTCAGGATTCATAGACGATGCTTAAGATACATATTTGTTTGAAAAAGGTCGTTTAAATGCCAAACAACCAAATGTATTTTCTATTCATTTTGTTGGAAAGTGTTGCCAAAAATTCCTTTAATCAAACAACATTTGTGGAAATGTCTTTGATTGTCTGTGTGGTCTTACCTTCACTTCAAACGGATGACTTTAAAATTATTATTCACTGAGAACAATCTAACACATGCTCAAAGCAAGCTGTTGCCTGAGGGAAGTATGTGATTTATTTGCATATCAACGCTATATCAGAAGATCACTTTGATGGAGTTTGAGCTTTCTGAGTACTGCTGTCTCACATGGCTCTCTGAGAATATAACACTGTGTGTGCCCCCTGCTTGAGTTCAGTGATTAGGGAACTCCTTTCATGTGATATAATGAATGAGCTTCCTTGACAGCCCCACCAGAGGGCGCCATGGGACTGCTTCCTATACCGATCTCTCTATAAATGACAGTTCACCAAGGCTACCTTCCTTTCTCTGTCTCCCCAGGCAACTAACAAACCTGATTTTTGCAGAGAGAAATCCATTCATTTGGCTCCTGGTAATGAATCCATGTAGAAAAATCCTCAAGCACATATTTGACCTCCATTTGATTAGACTTTCCAATCATCCTGTGAAAAGATTGTTGTTGGATATGCATCATTATTCATTTTCACTGTGCTAATTAACTGTGGCTGAAAATGCTTTTGTTTATTTGGGGGCCTGCTGAAAGCCTTGATCATCCCTGTGTCTTACATCAGAAGCTTCTGGATTCACCTTTACATTGTGGAGGTGTTCTCATGTCTGATGAAGCTTCAGAAATGTAAATAAGTTATTTTGACTTTCTCTTCTGTAGATGGAATAATTATACCCTAATTACACTAAACAACATTTTTGCTTTTGTTCTTATGGGGGTGTAACATTTAAAAATCAAAGCAGGATTCTTTATCAGTTGAAATGAAACCTGGCTATACTAAACTTAATATTAGTGGTATCAAATCCACCATATTTCGCACACTGTTGTCGCCATGCTAAATGCATCTATACTGATTGCATTCTTTGTTATATTCAGATTGTGTATTTGCCTAGATTTCCACTTCATATAAAGACATACATAGTATAATCAAATTACGTAACTGTTTAAGAGAGTTCTGTTCTCTCCTATTCATAATTCACATCTTCATCAGATCAATAATATTCTCTCCAATTTAGAGTGAAGAGCTTCTAGTTACCACAGAATATATTTGATGTTTGACTTTGATTCAAATATTGGCCCTCATGACAATATAGAAAGAAATACATGGAATTGGACGAGACACTTCATTTAATACAAGACAAACCTTTCATATTTTCTGGGAATCATTTGGACCTGAGGCAAGACAGAGAAATAGTTCTGTCCTGATACTATCACTTTCTTTGCAGCTCAGAGCCACAACCATATCTATTTGAACACAGAGACTTAATGACACATTAATCGCAATCCATGAGGCATTAAGGAGAATATATATATATCTTTTTTTGTTCCTTCAATCACACAGTCAACATTTCCTCAAGCACAGGAAGGTCAGGCAGAAAACCATTTCAATCAAACTAAAACATGGACCATTTCGAATCGGTTATTACTGTGAATGCTGCATGGGTGTGCAGGTGAAAAATAATCACGCCTTACCAATTAATTGCACACCAATCGCATATAGATCATCACTTTCCTCAACACCATTGGTGCTTTGACTTACTTGTGAACAATTACCATTTTTCCTTTATATGTGTGTACTTTTTGTTGATGCTAAACATGCGTTTTCTGTGGCTCGGCTCCCTTAGCTTTCCACAGCTCTGCTCGTTTAGTCACTGTTGCTGCTCCATGCTCTCCACTGTTTTGGAGTAGGAGGAGGAGGTGGAGAAGGAGGGGGGCCGCCGTGTGCGTCAGTAAGTCAAACATGTTCCAATAACGAGCTATATTATCTGCTGCTATTTGCAGTTTCCTGTAACCAGGCGCCAGACTGAGCTTGAGCAGAAATCTGCAGCGTTTTTCTTTTTGCTCTTCTGTGATGGAAACGCTCTCAAAAGGGATGGCATCTGCAGGGCTGCGGGCAGAAAACAGGTAGGCTGAAGTTGTCTCTTAGTTTGGATGCGCGCTACGCAGACGTAATTAATTGATTCTTAAATTCAGGAGCGATGTTTTCGTAGGGTGTTTATTCTTCATTGTACACAAAGCCCAGATGTAATTTATTAAAAGTTGCATGAAGCCTTGCCAACATAATTTCAGCACGAGCAGCTTAATGACATGTTTAAGTGGGGTATAGAAAGTTGTAAATACACTGGCATTTGTGAAATATAACCAACCTACTTTTCTTTGTTTCCATTATCACTGTACTTAAAATACATGTGCTGACTCAACTGAGTAAGTCTTTTACTAAAAGGTCCTAGTTGACTGTCTGGTATAATATTCACGTGCAGAAGGAAGAGGTGTAGCCTACTTTTGGCCATATCTCACGTTTTTATTCTGCCATTCCAATTTTAGATTTTTTTAATATCATTGTTTTCTGTTTCCGAATGACTTCTTTTCGAATAATAATTTCAAATATCAATGTATTTCGATAATGGGAGAACCTTAGCACCTAATAATAGCCTTTGCACATTTTAAATATACAATACAATCGATGGATAGATAAAATGTTTGCTATGGGTCCTTATCTACAGTATTAGGAATTATTCAAATATAACTTTCTTAAAATAATAATCTGAATCTGTGATTTTTTTCCCTTCAAATTATATTCATTACATAACAATTCTGTTTTAAGAAAAACAAACTATAATGGTCGTCAGTGGTTCTTGTCAGGTTGGTAAAATAACGATTGCTTACACCCTGAGCTCATTCACCTTCTACCCCTTTCCCTTTCTTCAGGAATATAACCTTTACCCTGTACACTAAGAGCACCGTGCCAGAGAAAGCACATTCATCAGAACGTCAGCTCTAAGAGGAATAAGGATGGCTGGAGGAGCAGGGCGAAACCCAGGGATGGGAAATAAATTAGGGTTATATGTTAGGCTGTTGGCAGTGACTGTGATTCTGGGAGCTGATCCGGGCTGGCTGGGCCTCAAAGAGCGGGCTGGGGTCAATGCCCAAAACACTGAGAGAAGGGTATTGACACATATCCCTGGTGACATCATTATAGGAGCTCTGTTCTCCGTCCATCACCAACCACCTGCAGACAAGGTACATGCTGCGTGTTCATGCGTATGTGCTCATTTTCTCCACATGTGTATATGTGATGTCATCAATCTCACTTGGGTTTTGCTCAGGTCCATGAGAGAAAGTGTGGTGCGGTGCGTGAGCAGTATGGGATCCAGAGAGTGGAGGCCATGATGCACACTCTGGATCGAATCAACGCAGACCCCACTATCCTCCCCAATATCACCCTGGGATGCGAGATCAGGTCAGAAACCATTTACAAAACTTCTGATGTTGTTGTTCTTTGCAATGTTTACTGTTAAATTATAAATGGGCCACACAAGGAAGAACTTTATACAAAAGAAGGGTTTTGTCTGGCCAGGGAGACTTAAGGTAAGGGAAGAGGGCTGGCTACAGGCAGGTGGAGTTAAGAAAGTCTTAAGAGAAGATTGACATGTTTCTTATGAGTAGGTAATGAAATCCCATTGTCCATTGTAACATCAAATAGAATTGCAGGTTTCACGACACACAGGTCACACTGACCAGCAGGTCAATCTGACCAACTAACAAAGGGTGGCTGACAGATTGCAGTCAAATGTATCCGAAATGCCATGTGCATCTTGAAGAAGTAGGTCGCTGCAATGATTCCTCCTCTCCGTGGCATAAGGGCTGTGAAAACACAGCAGGGGAACACAAAAAGGCACATTTGTACAAACAAGACTTTGTAAGATTGATGTGGCTGACTCATATAAGCTTTTGCTGAACTCTGGACTGCATATTGCTCACAGCTCTTTTTTTTGTTTTTTCCCAAATCATCTATTTGGCTTCTCCAAACCGTCACCTTTTCCCTTCATGCATGCCTAAACACTATCAGGGACTCATGCTGGCACTCTGCGGTGGCGCTGGAGCAGAGTATTGAGTTTATTCGGGACACACTAGTGTCTAACGAAGAGGAGGAGAGCCAAGGCAGGTGCACTGCAGAGGCAGGGAGCATGTTGCTGCAGGCAAAGAAGCCCATTGTGGGAATGATTGGACCAGGATCCAGCTCCGTGGCCATCCAGGTGCAAAATCTCCTTCAGCTCTTCAACATCCCACAGATCGCTTATTCAGCCACCAGCATGGATCTCAGTGACAAGGTAAGACCAGTTAACACAAACAACATTATGAAGGCTTTAGAAAACTTCATATTGAATTCCAAGGTTGCAAAAATGTCTTCATCAAATGTTGTATTTTCATTTGCTTACTGGTTTTGTACATATATTATATATTGTAATATATATTTCCCTAATTGCATTGTATTGTACTTGCAACTCTATTATCATGTGACTATTATGCAGCCATGACAACTACAAGGGCAGACATTTCATTGAGTATCTTAAGGATGGTTATATAATATGACTAATGGAAAGCTGGTGATAATAGGCCAGGTAGAATACATTAAATAATCTAAAAAAAAAACACAGCATGTAGGGTGTTTTGTTCATTGAATTTAACTGGAATGATGTTTATAATAAGGGTTATAATGGACGCAAATGTATACTGCCAGACTTATGGACATATGCATTCCTTTCAACAGAGCCTGTTCAAGTATTTCATGAGGGTGGTGCCATCCGATATGCAACAGGCCAAAGCCATGGTAGACATTGTTAAGAAATACAACTGGAGCTACGTGTCCGCAATACACACAGAAGGTAAAAGTGTGTATAGTGTGTGTTATAGTGTGCGTTACAGCTTAACATTTGTCATTCTGTCACTCTCCTGTCATATCTCTCTCATCGTTATTTACGATTTCTTTTTGTTGTGTATACAATATTCTCTCTCGTGTTTTACATTGGGTCAGAACATCTGCATTTTTGTGGGCAGTGTCTGACTAAGTTCTTATTATTAGTTCTTGGTTTCAGTCGTTTTCCATCTTTTCCTTTGAAGTAGAATTGAAGAAATATTATAATTTTACTCACTAATATTCTGACCTACCGTTGGAAGAAGAAGAAGAAGCTGAATCTCCACTATCATTATCAGTGTGAATAGCCTCAAGCACACTGGGGACACATAAACACGAACACACTCCTCTGTGAAACATCACATTTGAGTTGTTACAGTACGAGGCCATTATATCTATGCATTATTATCAAATTCATATCAAATTAGCTCTGATTATATATTCTTTGTAATCCTGTTCATTATTGGCAAAGCTTCCCAGGGAACATCTGCCATGGGCTTTGAACTCTCTGGGAAGCATGGCACCGTGTCCACTTATTTCAGTGTTGCTTCACTGATCCCATTCTCAGAGCAGTCTCTCGTTATACCCTTCATTTTTTATTTTTTATTATTGTACCCGTATGTATGCTATCTTTTAATACAGTGAAAAAGATAGGAGACCAACAATTTATCTCCCATCATTATAGGGAACAATCAACTTTAACATTTAGTTTTGTTTGAATGGACGGATGTGTATGTGAAGGATGGCTTAAACACTTACGTACATTTCCTTTTTTGTTACCACAAGTGGATCTAGGATATTTTTGTAGAGCAGATGTTCAATGCAGCCCTAACCCCCTGAAGTACAACTATAGGCACAAGCAACACACAGGGATATCACAGCTTCAACACATCCAGCCCCTGAATCACTAATCTCACCAGAGACAAAATATATAGTATTGGCATCATTCTCAGTAAAAAATACCCAACATATTCGATACCGTACCCTCTATTTACTGTGTCTTTGTAAGGGCTTGGTGGCTCAAGGCCATGGGTCTATAAAACATGTGTTTTGATAGCAATACATTCAAGTTTTGTCCTTATGAATACAAAAATATTGTAGATGATATTTAGAGAAGAGGTCTGCTGAAAGGTTCTCTTTCAGGAGAAAAACCTCATGCCCTGGGTAGCTCTTCTTGTATAAAATACTTGTGTTTTACTGTTTATGTTGCAGAATATTGCTATAGTCCAGAAGGCTGTAGGATATCACTGTTTAACAAATTAAACTGTGTGTATATATGATAACCATACATATTTATTTGTTCTCTTTTGTGATCTATTTGACACTACCTAGACAGCCGTATTGATGTTTTGCGTAGTTACAAGATAAACAAATATGACATTGCCATGCTCAGTTCTGGGGTTTCAAATCTATGTTATTCCAACCTTGTTAGACCTAGACAGTGACTTTAATGCCCTATCTGACAAATGCAAATGCACCTTGCTTGTGACTCTTCATGACATTTGCATAATCTAATAACAAGCTTTATAACCCAGTTAATTATATCAGCATTCCCACATACAAAGCAAACAACACTTCTCTTTAAAATAGTCTAATGCGCTGATGAAGGCACAGAAATCCCAATGACATCAAAGAAAAAATAACTAAATAATTACGATGCAAATAGAAATGGCAGCCCCATTTCCTGACACATTAACAGGGAGTTGAATCAAGGTAACAGTTTCATACAATTACTACTCAAGAAGGCATGCCACATATTGGAGTAAAACTCACACGTAGTAAAAAAAAAAAAGAATGCCTCAAACGGTGCCTTGCCCAGAGTGAGAGCACACTCGCTAAGCAACAGAAAGTAGGTGACCTCATTTTGAGCAAAAACAGGGAAATGTAACCCCTGACAGTTGCCATAATGGGGACAAATTCTCAGTGTTGTGCCGGCATTACATCAGAGTATTTCATTGTGCACACCCCGTGTATGCCTGTGTGATCATACAGACTGAAAGGGTGGGAAGCAGAAAAACAAGAAACAAATGCATAAATGTTTACGAAATATTGCAATGTGAAAGACCATTTAATTAATGTTTTCCCCTTCTTAGGTAATTATGGTGAGAGTGGTATGGAAGCATTTAAAGACATGGCAGCTAAAGAGGGGATCTGCATCGCCCACTCCGATAAGATTTACAGCAACGCAGGCGAACAGGGCTTTGATAAGCTTTTACAGAAACTACGAGCCCATCTGCCCAAAGCCAGGGTGGTGGCCTGTTTCTGCGAGGGCATGACGATCCGTGGAATACTGATGGCCATGAGACGGCAGCGTCTTGTGGGGGAGTTCCTGCTGATTGGAAGGTGAGTGGGCGATTGTGCTGCGTAGGATTTATTCTTTCTAATGGACCCTTTGTTTTGCTTTCATCAGCAGTTGGAATATTTGACTGAAATATTTGTGCTTCAGATTTTTTCATAGTCATTTCCAATCCAGTCTCTGCAGATGTCCAGCATCATCAGACAAGATGTGTTTGTTGTCATTGGGGCCATCTTTGTCTTCTCATCATCATCATCCCTGTTATCAAATTCATCGCATCCATCAACTTCATGGTGGTCTAGGAAAATAAAGGTATTTTTGTATGTATTTCTTACAAGTGACACAAACTAATTTAAGATGAGTGAGATGCAAAAGTCTATCTTAAAATACCATCTTATTAGGACTATTTTTTCATTTGGTCTCAATCTCTATTCGTGGAAAAGCTAACTGCTAAAAAGCTGCTTTGATTTGATTTAACAATTATTTTAATTGTAATACAATTAGTTTTATTCATGCAGGTTTTTTATACAACCACATTCAACCTGCACAAATGTGCTTGCGATTCAATCCATTTTAGGATCCATATTATAGACTTATAGTGAGTAAATCGGTAAATGAATTATAATACAGAGGTGTGTGGTGCAGTGGGTTGTGTGTTGGTTTTCGGATCAAGTGGTCACAGGTTCAAACCCCACTGCAGTCGTTGTGTCCCTGGGCGAGACACTTCTCCCCAAATTGCTCCTGTGGGGATTGTCCATAGTATTGAGTATGTAAGTTGCTTTGGATAAAAGCATCTAATAAGTAACATGTAATGTAATAAATCTATATTTAGTAGGACACTATTGGTATTGGTGCTTCATACCAGGTATTGTTTATTAAAAGTGGACAACTAAATACAGCAGTGATGATTTTCCAATAATAATTCATTACTAAAAATGTAGCAATGTAACGACATACTAAATCGTTATTTTTTTTTCTTTTAGGGAAATGTAACCAGTTCAAATGTTGTTATGTGCTGGCTCATTTAAAGATTGATTTAAGAACCGGAAAAAATAAAGACTGGGCAACTGATGCAGGAGGGACAGAATGCAATTAAAAACATGAGGCAAAAAAATAAATGGGAAAGAGGGGGTTGATTTAGCAGGAGGTTTCACACTCTCCGAGAATAACATGTTTTATTTTAAGGTTTAGCTCTCTGGCTCACTCTCGTCCCTCGTGTTCTATAAATGCCTTTCCTCATTAGGAGCCACATGTAGGCTGTCGCTCAAACCTGACAGCAGGAAGCATAAAATAACCTTGAACTACATTACAAAACACTATGCTCTATAATCCAGGTTAAGGTGGCAAATGTATGTGTCTTTTTGTGCGATCATAAATAAGCCAGTACTGTTATATGTGCTTCTTATTAATGCTGCTTTCTTTCAACGCTTCTGACCTCACTTTATTGGCCCCATCCTCCATCCTTTTCATCAGCATGGAAGATTTGTCTCCAGGTTTTTGTATGTGCGCAGTGCATTCATGCTTAGTTTCCATTTATAGAAAGAGACACTCTGAAGGAGAAGATAATGATTTTTTTTGTGTGTGTTTTGTTGCCAGCACTGCCTAAGCCGATTTCAAACTGTTGTTGCCAAGTCACTGTCATCCTTCAGACTGTACGTATAGAAATCAGTTGAGAAATGACAGTTATCGCATATATTACAAAGACATTGAGTTGTGATATTCTAACAGGCTTTGTTCTCAAAACGAGGATGGCAAAGAGTCACACAAGTGCAGTACTGTCCTTCTTTGTATTTAGCCGACTATTGAATGGATTTACATTTTTCTCTGGTGACATCCTGAGGTTTTGAGATAAAGAGGAAGTATTTTGCCTTTTTTTTATTGGTTTTTGTGCATGTAAATGGTCTGCAAAGGCTAAACTCCCAAAGTTCCCTCCATAGGAAGTTTCTCTCGCACACACTCCCCACACACTTGGTTTCAGACAGAGGGTGAAAAGAGGTGCTGCAGCACAGGCAGTATGAGAAAAATAAAGAGCTTTTTGGACCTTAACGCATGGAGACATGTCCCATTAGATTGGGGTAAAATCGATGTATGTGCTGATGTTGAAACTGCATGGTCTTATTTTTATCTTGGTTTTATGAAAATGATTGATAGACATGCACCCCTGCGTACATTTAGAGTGAAGGGACGAGACAATCCTTGGTTTTCTGCTGAATTGTCTAGTCTCCTACATGAGAGAAACAAGGCCTGGGCAAAGGAGGAAATCAGGCTCAGAGGTAGAATGGCTGCGATTTAGGCAGCTAAGGAATAGCTTCACATCGCAAATCAAAAGTGCTAAGTCTAAGTATTATCTGTCAGTTACCACAAAGAACCTGAATAATCCTAGAACATTTTGGAAAGCCATTCAATCGATATCCACCGGTGAAATCCGAAATGAGCTACCTCCTTGCCTTACCACAGCATCTGGCACTATATCAGACAGGGCCGCTATTTTAAATTGTTTTAACGAGCATTTTGTGTCGTGTGGCTCTCTGTTTGATTCTGTTACTAACTCTGCTACTGTGAACACCACAGTCTGTGACTCTGAAAAACGTGGTTTGGAAAACCCTTTCAGTTTTTCTCCCTTTTACTATTGAAGTCGTTCATGAAGCCTTAACCAAGTTAGATCCAAAAAAAACGGCTGGTCCGGACAACGTAGAACCCTTCTTTTTAAAGATAGCTGCAGATTTTATTGCACCACTTGTTACTTCTCTTTTTAACCTCTCCCTCAGCACAAACACCATACCAAAAATATGGAAGTCAGCTTATGTCCTTCCTCTACATAATTATAGGCCCATCTCTAAATTGTCAGTTTTGGCCAAGGTTCTTGAAAGCCTAGTGAGTGAGCAGGTAAAGGTGTTTTTATGAAAAAATGACATCAGTCAGGTTTCAGAAGCAACATAGCACCATCACTGCGACAATGAAAGTGGTGAATGATATTGCGGGTATCTTAGACATTACATTTTATTTAGCTGACGCTTTTATCCAAAGGGACTTACAATTACAGGGACATTCTCCCTGGAGTAACTAAGGGCTAAGTGCCTTACTCAAGGGCACACTAGTGGTTGTGTTCCTGGCGGGATTTGAACTCACAACCTTCCGATCTTCAGCCCACCTCACTATCCATTAGACCACCACTACCCCTCAGACAATAAGCAGAGTTGTGCAGATCTGTTTATTGATCTTTCCAAAGCGTTCGATACCGTCGATCATCAAATCCTGAAGCAGAGGCTGGCCAGTATTGGAATATCCAGCCATGCAGTGGGGTGGTTTGTGAACTACCTCTCTGAAAGGTCCCAATGTGTTCAGTTTGATGGGCTGTATTCTGAGTGGTTAAACATTACAAATGGTGTACCACAAGGTTCTGTTTTAGGTCCACTTTTATTCTCCATCTATATAAACAGTTTAGGTCAAAATGTTGATGAAGCAACTTTACATTTTCATGCTGATGATACCGTGATGTACTGTGCAGGTCCCTCCATTAAGGAGGCTGTTGTTAAATGACAGGCTCTTTTTAATATTATTCAGACGCAGCTCTCTGAGTTTAAGCTTCTTTTAAATGTTGATAAAACTAAGGTAATGCTATTTTCAAAAGCCAAAAAGACACCGGAGACCACTTTGGATATTGTTACTACGCAAGGAAAAGTACTCAAAGTGGTTACCTGTTTTAAATACCTTGGTATCTGGCTTGATGATTGCCTCTCTTTTAAACTTCAGGTCAATAATCTGCTTAGAAAGCTAAGGGTGAAGCTAGGTTTCTTTTTCAGAAACAAGTCCTGTTTCTCGCTTGAGGCCAGGAAAAGGCTAGTCACTGTGACCTTTTTACCTGTGCTGGACTATGGTGATCTGATCTATATGAATGCACCTGCCCATTGCCTGAACAAGTTAGATGCCGCCTATCACAGTGCGCTGAGATTTGTTACTAACTGTAAAGCACTTACTCATCACTGTACCCTGTATGCCAGGGCAAGTCTGCCTTCACTTACTGTTCGGAGGCTCAGTCATTGGTACATATTCATATATAAAGCCATGCTGGGTAAACTACCGACTTATATATATATATATATATATATATATATATATATATATTATATATTGCCTAAGATCCCAGGATGTGTTTTTATTACATGTGCCAAGTGCTAGGACTGTTTTAGGTACTAAAGCTTTTATGTGCGCAGCCCCTCTAGCTTGGAACACTCTGCAAAACATTTTGAAACTGAGCATTTTGGTTCCCCTGCATCATTTTAAAGCTCGGCTGGATGAAATGATATTTGATACTCATGGTACCTGTCATTGTGAATAGGTTTGTAAATTGTACCCCTGTAATTATGTTGTATGACGTCCTTTTTGTTTTCAGTTGTATTTATGTTTACATGTGTAACCAATGTGCTGCAGGTCTCCCTTGAAAAAGAGATTGTTGATCTCAATGGCATTTCACCTGGATAAATAAAGGCTACAAACAAACAATTAGAGGGAGACAATACAAACATGAACCTAAACATTTGCATAATGCGGCCCCTTTAATTTATGATTTAATTTTATAGGTTATCAAATAGTGGATTTGAATCATGCTGTTCAGTTTAAAGATTCATAGTCACTAATCATGTTATCTTTGTAAACTAAACTAAGCAGTCCCCTGCTAACAACTGGCAATTCCTTCAGTCACAATGTAACAATGATTCAGTTCAAAACAGAAAAACAAAGCTTGCTTAGGTTGTGTGTTTTTCCTCTGTTACCTTCAGACAGTAGTTACATTTTTTTCTTTCATGTCTCGTTCAGTTTAATTATAGGAATGGACACCTATTCAGCCTCAAGTTAGTACCACTACACAGTAAAGTGTCCACTCAGTGAAGATCTGGCCAAAAGTTAACTAATGTGTGTGTTTCTGTGTGTGTGGGTGTATGTGTGTGTGAGAGAGAGAGCTCACACTTGTGTGTCTTGGAGCTTGTAGGTGGTGTAGCAACACGCTGCATACAGCATATTGCCCTCCCAGGTCGATGTGTGGGTTTCAGAGCTCTCGTTCAAGAGTGATTCAAACTATCCAGAGTCAAAGCCATCCATGCTTTTCATTTCCATTCCTGTCTTTTTTATGCCAGCATACCATTTCTGTGCTCGCTTCTCTAAGGATGTGTTATAAAATGATCTCCTTTCTCACCAAGAGAACCAAGCATCATAAAAAAGAAACACCCACACTTCTGTTGTGTAACTCTGTTGGCCAAGTTTTCAAAAATGACTTCCTTTGCTTTTTATGTCAGTTAGAATAGATAGAGGAGTTCATTTATTTGTGTGAGTGAGGTGTGCCTGTTTACATGTGTGCACATGTGTGGAGGTGTAAGCAGCCTTCTGTGTTTGTGGTTCATAGTGTCCAGAGGGAGGGATAATAATAGATGGAGCAGAATCATCTCAACCGTTCACTGATGAGATAGCTTTTTGAGTCCAAGCTCGTTGTTTTTAAAAAATGTGTCTGCAGATGCTGCTGTTTTCCTGCTGTTAAAAGTGTATTGACCATCAGATATCTTTTGTCATAATAGTCAGAAGGTGTTGATGAATAAAAGTTCCTATAGATAAAATAAAATTAGTAGATGAATCCTTAACATTTCCATGTAAAATTCATTACATGCTTTGACTTTGTCTGTATTTATAATGCATTGAGAGATTGGTGCATAGGAACTTGTTTGTGAAATTGAGATATTTGCTCATCAAGTTATTAAAGTTCATCATTGCAATTGTATCTAAACGGCCTTCACCAATAGTGAGTCTATGGATATTGTATTACTCAGCATTCATACACCAACTTTGCAAAACTTGTGACCATGGAATTGATATATACAAAACAAGTCATAAAATGCCAAACATGTTGTTTAAAATAAGTCCTCAAAGCACCATCAACCTTCGATCTCTTAAAGTTTTCAAGTTATCTTTGCAATTGAACACAATTCAAATTAAATGAAATCTTCAGCTTGGATATGTGAGCAAATACTTTTTATTTTTATCACCCAGTGAGTCGTGTGTCGGTACATCTGAGTCATCATAAGAAATATTTTATTTTACTGTAACTCTCTGCACAGTATTCATTAGGTGTATTTAGCGAGACACCACCTGTCTCTTTTCAATCTGTGCAATCACCCAGCTCTTCTTCAGCAGGCCACATTAAAAGTCACTGCCATCATGGTGTTATTCCTCTTTAAAAATACATTATGAACTACGCATGATAATCCTGTGTTTAGTTAAACCCCTACATTTTGAATCATGTTGCCTAAAAGTATTTTTTTCACATGAGCTAATGCTGGTTGTTATGGTAACATTTGCCTCCTGCAATGCTGATCTTGGCTATTTCAAGATGTCGAGTCTGGTCTGTTGGTGAAAGCAGTTTCATTGGTGTATTTGTGAACCAGGTTTAAAGGCTACAGTGTTGGTTAGGGGATGAAACTGTTCTTTCAATAACATCGTCATTATGTTTAGATTTTCTTTTCAGATTTTTTATACAAAATAAACAATATACATTTAGCCTTTTAATCTTTTGTTTCTCTGTGTCAGGGTTCTCTGTTCCTTAAAGAGAAAAGACAATAAGAAATCTTTCTGAGGCGACAATGCTATCCAAGCAATGACATTTGTGTGTGGGTGCAATATTAAGCAAGCATTATCAAGAGGCTCAAAATAGTACACAATGTGCTCTATATAAAAAGGAATAGTTCATGTGTAAGAATGAATAAGCAATTCTTGAAAAATGTCTGAAAGTCAACACATTTTCTATTATTCCTATGTTTGCCTGTAATATATTTTTGAATTTAAAACGATTATATAATCAAAAGCTTTACGAAAAAAAGGAAAAGACTATTAATGTAAATACAAACTCAACAATCATTTAAAACTAACATGTAAAATAGAGCCTCATATCTGTAATCCTTATCCTCACTAATGTTGTGCTGTACTTTCCTCCGTGTCTCTCTCCTCCTCATCTCCAGTGACGGCTGGGCAGACCGGTCGGATGTTACCGATGGCTACCAGAGGGAGGCAGCTGGTGGTATCACTATAAAGTTAAAGTCGGCATACGTGACCTGGTTCGACGATTATTACCTGAACCTGAAGCCGGACGATAACCTGAGGAACCCCTGGTTCCCCGAGTTCTGGCAGCATCGCTTCCAGTGCCGGCTGCGGGGCCATCCGCTGGAGAGCCTCACGTACAACCGCACATGCACCTGTTAGTACGACATCATGTAGCACACACCTCCTTCTACACATCCTAAAAATGTGGATTACAGTGCTTGGGTTTCTTCTTATGAGCAGGTCCTTGTCCTCCACAGGGAGAGAGTCTCTGCGCCATCAGTATGTCCAAGACACCAAGATGGGTTTTGTCATTAATGCCATCTATTCCATGGCTCACGGCCTGCACGAAATGCAGCAATCCCTCTGTCCAGGATATAAGGTACGTTAATTTACTGTGTGCTCATTTGCATGCTTTCTCATTTCACAGTATTGAAAATGTTGTTTTTTTTCTGGTGCCAGGGTTTATGTGAGAACATGCGGCCTATCGATGGCCGCAAGCTGCTTGAGTTCCTGATGAGAACAAACTTTACTGGTGTGTCTGGGGAGACCATCTACTTTGACCAGAATGGAGACTCACCTGGCAGGTAAAGATTATGGTGGGAGAAGTACAAAGGGAACTATGAATGTGTGCATGTGCTGTTTCATGCACACTGTATTTGTGCCTCAGGTATGAAATAATGAACTTCAAGGAGACAGGGGAGGATGAGTTCTCTTATATCCATGTGGGAAGCTGGGATCAGGGTGGCCTGAAGATGAACGATGAGGAAATCTGGAGTAACACCAGTGAAATCATCCAGTCAGTGTGCTCTGAGCCCTGCCAGAAGGCACAGATCAAGGTATGTACTACAACACACAGTTTTACACTGTAGATAAGATGTGTTTTGCAAAGTTATTCTAAATGTATTTAAATGATAACCCATTTGTATAAAGTAACGATAAATGTGGTGATTTTGTTAATCATTTTTTCTTCTTTTATATAAATGGTCTTCATTTTAATCATTAAAGGTGGGGTAGGTAAGTTTGAGAAACCGGCTCGAGATACACTTTTTGTTATATTCCATGGAATGCTCTTAACATCCCGATAGCAATGAATATCTTAAGTGCTTTGACTAAAAATCCATAAAAAAATGTCATCTGTGGAAGCAGTAATACTGTAAAAAGCACGACCAATCATCTGAGCCGGCCCGGCTAAAATAACTGGATGGCCTACCTGCCTGTCAGCCTTCCATCTGTGCACGGTTGTGTATTTTCAAATTCTAGCGCACTCGAGCTGGTTTCTCCAAAATTACCTACCCCACCTTTAAGGCCCCCCCTGAGGCAAATTTGTGTTCTTGGTTTTTATCAATAAAATGTACATGACCTGACATTTTATCTATCTGCACCTTCCCTTTTATTTGCATACATGATGTAAAATATATATCACCTTTTCAGGTTATTTAGATTCATAGCGTATGTCATACCATGGAAATTCAGTTTTACATATATTGGCAGCCATTTCATTATGATGATCTCCAAACCACAGACTTGGTATCATTCATTCATGTTATAGACAAGAGAGCATGTCGACATTTTACAGAAGAAAACTCTTAACCTGTTAAACCCGGAGGCCCCCGCCCACCGGGTTTTTTTTCACGAAACTGTGTCTCAGGGCTTCTTAACATTTAAAAACCTATTGATGTGTCATACCCACTTAACGGGAAGAAACTCAGCTAACTGAATATATGGATTTTTGTTACCGAAACAAAACACAAGTCTCACAAGAAGCGTCTAAATGAGCCTTGTGCGAAAAAAGGCTAACGCACTTAGCACAGAACTCACGGTAAAATACCCTTATTACTTATCGGATCTGCACAAACAAGATATCGATTAGCAAGCTGAGATTCCACAGATTCCAGAAATATAAGTATCATCACTGAGCTGAGAATAGTGATGGTCTAATGGATAGTGAGGTGGGCTGAAGATCGGAAGGTTGTGAGTTCAAATCCCGCCAGGAACACCACCACTAGTGTGCCCTTGAGTAAGGCACTTAGTCCTTAGTTACTCCAGGGAGAATGTCCCTGTAATTGGTCATTGTAAGTCGCTTTGGATAAAAGCGTCAGCTAAATGAAATGTAATGTAATGTAATGAGCGATCAATGCATGGAAAGCAAACCCATACATCACACCACGTAGCTTTACGGAGCAAACACAGGACATTGTCTTACCTTTGCTGTTGTTCTGATCAAAAGTTGTGTTCAATGGCATTAAAACGATAAAAATGCTGCTGAAGGTTAATCCAATGTGTCTGTGTCACTTTGAAATGATTACTGATAATCCATCGTCATATTTATGGCAAAAACTGAGTTTTCATATATAGCTGCTATGATAGCTACTAGAGTGTATGACTGCTTCCAGTTCAGGGGCATTCTGGCTACGCATCACTCATTCACCAATGGGTAATGTTTAGATGGATTTTAGGAACTTCCCCTCGATTCTATTGGCTCTAACGGTTAAAAAGAGGTGTCAATCATCAAAATCGACCAAGGGGGGTCAGAGATATGGAAAATGCACCCAAATGACCCCAGAAGTGGGTTTTTTTTACTCAGGGCTTAACAGGTTAAGCAATACCCACACAGCAGTCGTGATTTGGGCCCACAGGTTTGCAATCTGTAAAATTGGTCCAATCATATCCTCGAGTATCCCACCGGGGACTCAGAAAAGCTCTTTGTTCAAGCTGTAATCACGTCCCATCTGGGCTTCTGTAGCTCCCTGTAGCTCTTCCAAACCATGGAGAACACGGCAGCCTGTCTTCTCTTAATCATCCCAAAAGTCTCTGATATTAAACCCTTCCTACACACTCAACATGAACTCCCAGTAATGTGGCAGCTTGTGGGGAATTAAAAACGTGAATCTCACACATAACAATTTGAGGGGACCTGCTTTTTACACCTCCAGGCCTCAGACCCCAGCCCACGCTGCATAGCTCGGCTCCACCAGCCACTTGGCTCTCTTTTACCCATGCTGACCTTGACAACACATTGGAGTCGTTCCCTACCTCCTATAATTTTAGCAATGCATTTCTTGAAAAATAAAATATTTCCCAATTTCAATCCTTTTCATCCACCTATGAAGCCTCTCCATGGTTACCATCACAGGACTACTGTAACATGCAGGCGACACGTGTTTTTACGATTAAGAGCAACTTAAAGTTTTCCAGTGATGGCAAAAGTACACACATCCTTTACTCAAGTAGAAGTACAGATACTCGTGTTTAAAAATACTCTGGTAAAAGTAAGAGTACGGACTAAACTTCTTTACTCAAGTAAAAGTAAAGAAGTTTGGGCTTTGAAATGTACTTAAGTAAAAAGTACCCATAACTAGCAGCTGTTTTAAAGAGTACCTGACCTCCCTTTATATTAATAGAACAATAATGTCATTGTTAGCTAATGAATGTTTCGATGCTGAACAACGGCAACATGACAACGTTTTCATTGGTCGCTCTTCTTTAGAGAAGACCAGGAAATGATGGATACACGGATCGTGTTCAAATCAATAGGCACGCAATAGGCGCGTTCACACCGGAGTACTTTTACCCGTACTTTTCCCGTTTAGTTCCGTTAGTGCCTGGAATTTTGCGTTCACATCAAAAAGAGTACTTAGTTCCGAGAACTTTTACCCCCATTTTTAGTGCCTGCTAGAGAGCTGGTACTATCCTGGGGAGAAAAAAGTACCAATTTTGATTGGCTGGGCTAATTGCAAACCACGCCCCGTAAAACTCTGAAAAGTTTTGTGAAGCCGCCATTGTATTTGCTGGCATTAGCATTAGCATTAGCCCCGCGCACCAACGGAGAGAGAATAACTTATGGCAACACAAAAGAAAACATGGGAGCGGTGGAGATGAGGAGGTGTCGGCGTTCTGGCGATTTACTCGGAAGGCTTCAGTAGAAGCTGCTGGGAGTCCCAGCAGCTTCTACTCCCCAACTCCGGGGACTTCCGGCCGGGGACTTCGGGTGGCAGTATACGCCGTGAAGTGGTTTGCGGCCTGCCAGTAAACCCAAAGCAGAAGAAGAAGAAGTGACGTCAGCGGCTTCATTTGCGTAATCTTCCCTCAGGGAACTTATTCCGGTGTGAACGCGATCTGTACTTAGTTCCATGGGGTAAGTGCTGGCACTAAGTGCTGGGCACTAAGTACGGCAAAGTACTTGGTGTGAAAGCGGCTAAGGACTCTAAATAATAATGATCACGCCACCAAACACAGATTAAAACTAAAGTAACCAGCCTGTTTTGAAAATGTAAGAAGTAGAAAGTACAGGTATTTGTGTTCAAAATGTAAGAAGGATAAACATATTCTATACATCTTTCTCTTTTTTCTCCTTTGATCCCCCGATGAAGACATCGTAATTTCCCTGTCCTACAGAGCAGTCAGAGTGTAAGATTAGCTACAGCAAAGTGCCATTAGAGCTTTGAGACCTTTCCACCCCTTTTACTACTGTGTGTGTCTCCAGGTGATCCGCAAAGGAGAGGTGAGCTGCTGTTGGACCTGCACTCCCTGCAAAGAGAACGAGTTTGTGTTTGATGAGTACACTTGTCGAGCCTGCGTCCTTGGCTTCTGGCCAACAGATGATCTCACAGGTAAATAATACACTTGTATTCATTCTATGTCCTATATATATATATGTTGCACTGTTGGAGGAGCCTGTGACATACGTTTTTCATTGCCACATCTACACTGTAGCTAATGTGCAAATGACAATAAAGCCTTGAAACTTTCTTTAGGTGTCTGATAAATGCAACTGGATATTACCAAACAGATTGGAGGAGACTTGAATCTGGTTCACACTCTCATAGTGCGCCTATCTCCTTACATCTTTTGTCGACAACCTCAAAAAACTTGACAAGACTCTAAACTAAGACACAGAAATCCACACAAATAATGTAAACACACCACAGTACTTCAGATCCTTGTTTGAATAGGGCATTCGGCTGAAGCCTTTTAAACTCAATAGTCTGTCAAATGCTTTGAAACCCATTGTCTTGCCCCTTTGTAAACACTTATTGTCTCCCACGGTAATTCTGTTCATCTGTTGTTGTTGTTTATGTGTATCCTACATAAGAGAAAAGCAGTGTGCTTATCCTGTCTTCTCTCTGATCCCTCTTTTCTCCCTCACAGATCGCTTTTAATGTTTCACAAAATATAATTGCCTCCACTCTCATTTCCCCACCGCATCATTCACTGACTTTTTACCCTTAACAAGTTGTTGTTCAGGGTAAATAGTGCAGTAGATATGATTAGATAATATGCACTTTATTGATTCCAATGGAAATGTTTGCGTTGCAGCAGCATAAAAAGACAAGGCATTGTACATTAGAGAAATTAAAAGACCAGAAATAAACAATTAAAAATGTAAACATCTCAAATAGAAATAAAATAGCATTAAAAAAGTAGAAAATATACATGTTGAAATACAAATAGTAAACTAAATATAAAGCAGGATTTTAGATATTCATTAAGTGTGTAAGGAATGGAATATTACACTAAATATAAATGTACACTGTGAGTTTAAGTCCAGTTATCCAAGAGAAGCTATGGAGCCGAAACACATATGGCTGTAACACGCAAATACATGAATGCACATCTAACTGTCCCTTTTGCAGACAATACAATTGAAGTTTTCTTTGTCTCTTTTCTCTCTCTGTTCCTCTCTCTGTTTGCTGCAGGTTGTGAGCCGATCCAGGTGCAGTATGTGCGTTGGGGGGATCCAGAGCCCATCGCTGCGGTGGTCTTCTCCTGCCTGGGCCTCTTGGCTACACTTTTTGTTACTTCGGTCTTCATCAAGTAATTACAGCCCATAGCTTTACTGGTCAAATATCAGTCAAACAGTTAATGGGTTAACTTTAACAACGATGAATAGAAAACCATGTCTTGTGTTTTTATGTTCTATATGACGGTTGGATTACTCATCAAAAACAAACTCAAATTGAACTTGCATGTCATTTTGTGTTACTAATAAGTTTGTTTTTGTATGTCACATTATGTTTTACAGCTAATAATAAGTTAGTTGAATGTACATCTTGAGATATTATGTCTGACATCGGATCAAAATAACAATGGTTCAGTTTAACTCTAACTCTCAATGGTTCAAACAACCTATTTGTTTACTAGGTAAACCGGTGTGATGCCGGCCTTATTTACACCAAGTGAAAATATATTCAAATGTAAAAAATATATAAATACAATTAGTTCATACAAATAAGATTGCAACTCTATGCTATCTTGATTGAAACCTGTGAGCATGCACATTATTGTATATGTTGAATATCATTGTGCAGAAGCAATGAAGAAGAAATGAATTAGAATGAACATATACATATTAGATCAAATATATCTAATATGTATATATGACCCAATATGTAAATATGTTCATTCTAATTCATTTCTTATTTGATAGTTATTTCATCATTTTTAAATGTTTATCTGTAATCGTATTAATCTGTGTGAATCTGTGCTGTCCTGTTTTTCATCCTTACCCTGTTGCTGTTAAAACTCCTGAATTTCCCCATGGGCATTAATAAAGATCCATCTTATCTTCTCTTATCAATACCTTAATACTAATGCATCTGTTATGGTAATTACGTGAAACATATAATCTTATCTATCTGTAGGTTTTGGGACACTCCGGTGGTGAAGTCATCCAGTCGTGAGCTCTGCTACATCATCCTGGCTGGGATATGTCTGGGCTACCTCTGCACGTTCAGCCTCATCGCCAAGCCCCACATCATCTACTGCTACCTCCAGCGGCTGGGCATCGGCCTGTCCCCCGCCATGAGCTACTCTGCACTCGTCACCAAGGTACTTTCTTTTTTTATTTCATTTTAATGAGGTAGAGGCAAACATATAAACAATTCAAGTAGTAGAAGTTAATGTCATGTTTCACAAAGCCCCTAGGTTCAACCATCTGACTTTGACATCAGTGTTTTGTTCTGTGACACTGTACAATGCAGCCTAATGACACTTATACTGTCTGTTATGTGTGATTGCACCATTGGGAATGCCTGGAATTTCACTGTACTCTGTGTAGTGACAATAAAGGAATCTAATCTAATTCCATAATTTAAATCAGGGGTGTCCAAACTACGGCCCGGGGGCCAAATGCGGCCCGCGGACCATTTTGAATCGGCCCTCATCAAATTAAAAAAGTATAATGGAATATGGCCCACAAATTAAACTTGAGCTTGTCTTATATTGTACTTCTTAAATATAAATGTAAAAATATATTACACAGTAGTATTCATGTGTTAATAAGAACACTTTTCAAACACATTCAGTCAATTCAAGTTGGAAACATTTTCTAACATATCTTAGTTGATAAGAAAAAAGCCCAATGACTTATTTACATAACAAGCTTGAAATACACCCTTCCTATTTCTCCTTATTATAATCAATCTGAGGCTTCTGTTTTAAGGGATGAGCTGCCAACATTCACAAGCATCATTTACCTACATTTGATTGATTTTGCTAACTTATACCTGAACCTATGAGGCAGTATACCTCTAGTGAGCGGCCCAGCCCTTCGTATATTTTTCTGTATGTGGCCCTCGGTGAAGAAAGTTTGGACACCCCTGATTTAAATAATCTAATTTAGATTTAAAATGAGTTTTACACCTCCATCTCAAATTGGTATTGGTATTGAGATACTTTAAAAGAAGGTTTGTTTGCCGACAAACTACGAAATGTACACTCAAAATAGCTATTGATGACCCATTCATTTCGTATTACGCACTTACTGAGGTGGTGGAGAACTAACAGATAACCATGCAGTGAGCAGCTAACGGTGTTTGTTGGACCATTTGGCAGAAGAGAGATGTCGATCAAACCAAAACATGTGATCAGTCTAATTTCCACTGTCTATCGCAGTCTAATGTTTTTTAGCATAAATAGAATGGCATTTGAGGATAAGTGCAGGAGTAAAAAGGCTACCTCCAGAGATTGGATGATGGCCAATTGTTAGATAGGTACATTAGAAGTGTAATCTCTGTGTGTGGGTTGAGGCTAAGGTTTCAAGATCTAAAAAACAGAAAAGGGGATTATCATTATGAATCAGCATGAGCAGTTTTTATCGACATTGTAATCGAAGCCTGCATAACCATTGAATCTATTTTTTATCCAGACCAACCGTATAGCGCGGATCCTGGCAGGCAGCAAGAAGAAGATCTGCACCAAGAAACCTCGCTTTATGTCCGCCTGCGCACAATTGGTCATCGCCTTCCTACTCATACTGCTGCAGCTTGGGATTATTGTGGCGCTGCTTATCATAGAGCCACCACAGGTATATAAGAGTGTGTTTTTACCGTGTCAACGATGTTCATTTATTATTACCAGGTAGGTTGACACGTACGAGGAATTTGACTTGATGTCATGGTGCATACATAAAAGTTAAACAAAAATTAAAAACACAGATAGAGAACTATTTTAAGAAAACTATAATAACATAAAAAAATATAGTCAAATATAGCAGTATTTACATAGAAATAGAATGGAATAAAATATGTGCAGTAAAAAGAAAAACTGATATTGTGTACATTGTGTGCATTAATGTACACACAAAGAGTGATCGATCCCTTTCTCTCCTCCTAGGTGATCTATGACTACCCGAGCATCAGTGAGGTGCATTTGATCTGCAATATGACCACTCTGGGGGTGGTGGCGCCGCTGGGCTACAACGGCCTGCTTATCCTGAGCTGCACCTTCTACGCCTTCAAGGTACCTCAGCACACCCGTAGTTATTAATACAGTCCCAATGCACAGGTTCATGGTTTTCTTTCTTGTACCTTGTCTAATTTTTCTTCTTCAGCCTACACCGTTTTTCAAATCTCTGTTCTTAATTTTCTCCCACAGACTCGTAACGTTCCAGCTAATTTCAATGAGGCCAAGTATATTGCCTTTACCATGTACACCACCTGTATCATCTGGCTGGCCTTTGTTCCAATTTACTTCGGCTCCAACTACAAGATCATAACCATGTGCTTCAGTGTCAGCCTCAGTGCCACGGTGGCTCTGTGCTGCATGTTTGTGCCAAAGGTAAGACAATGAAAACATCACACAGTTGAGAATGTTCTTTAGACTCTGCATCTTGTTGCTGATAGCTATTGTGTTGTTCATTTTTCGTGTTCAGGTATACATCATGCTGGCCAAACCTGAGAAAAATGTCCGGAGTGCTTTCACAACATCCACAGTGGTGCGCATGCATGTCGGTGATGCCAAGAAAGTTACAAAGACCGGAAAATCCACTAGCAGCATGGCCAACTTGTTTCGACGCCGTGGCTCTGCGCAGGACATCAGGTATGATTAAATAAATACACCTGTGCACAGTTGCATAAAGGAGAGGGAAAACACCTCCTTAAAGTTGCTCGTTAAGTTTATATTCAATTAATATTTAATTGAATGTTGTATATTGTGCATTTTGAAATCTTAAATTATGTTTTCTTCTACATGTCCCCGGCAATTGAAATAAGAAAAGATACTTAACGTATTATAATCCAATCCAACTTTATTTATATAGCACATTTAAAAACAATAGAGTTGACCAAAGTGCTGTACATCAATAAATATATAAAAAGCAGCATAAATACATTTAGACAAAACCGATAGGACAAAAATAAATTTCAGCTATTACACAGGAGAGGATTTTTTTCTAAAATAAATCTCATGAGGGCGTTATAATATTAGTCGTCACCTTCTATACTCCTTCCATTTAATTGTATTATCATTTCATTTTCAATATTTACTTACTGATTTTATATCATGTCATCTTTTGGCCTATAATTACACAACAATTTGGCGTCCTTTTCTGCTGAATTCTGTCCATTAGTACAAGAATACACAAGCAAACTCTGCTAAGATATTTCCATGAATTATCCGTGTTTCTTCTCCAACTGTCTTGGGTAAATCAGAGTCGATTCCACTACAGCAGGGTGAATATGCCAGGAAAAAACTGCTCCCCGAGCTGAGAAAAGGCTACCTCATTTGGGTTAAGTACTCCCAGAGGAGACTCGCTGCCTTAAGGAATTCTCTTTCTAGGGAAGATAAAAAGAAAATGGAGGGAGATGTGAATTTACACAGATGGCAAAAGATTAAATGGGGGGATGGAAGAAATTCAAGCGAGAAGAAGTAGAACAGAAAATTACTAATCCTGGTATTATAGTAAAAGACGTTATTTGCCAACATGTACTTTATGTCAGCAATCAAATGTATATACATGTATTTATATAGAAGATATGGATATTTACCATCACTTCTTATCTAATGTCTTTCATTTGTTTTGCAGTTCCAATGGAAAATCTGTAACATGGGCGCAGAATGAACGCAGCTACAGACCGAACATATGGAAGAGGATGTCATTTCATGTGAAGAAAAAGGAGGCAGTGGAGGTAAACCAGACGGCCATCATTAAGCCGTTCTCTAAAGGAGGAGACGCTCCTGCGGACACCGTGGTCAAAGAGCAGTATGGCGACCAACATGTGCCTCCACCCTTCACCTGCTCCCCCTCCCAGTCGCCAAGGGGTTTCCAGGGAGGAGAGACGGGGGAGGACGGGGGAGCCTTACCCACCTACATACCTGAGAACGGAGCAGGGGTCAGAAGAAGAGGAGGGGACAACAGCCAGGATGTTTGTATGTTGGACGGGGGGGACATTAGCGTGATCGGCGTAGGGGACATCGGCACAGGGATGATTGGAGGCCAAGCTCAAGGCACTTGTATCATGGACCAAATCAGCTGTGTGGTTAACCGTTTCACTGCCAACATCAGCGAGCTGAACACCATGATGCTGCCGGGGGGGGTCACCGCGAGCCCCACGTCTACCCCTGCTGTTCCTACAGATGCAGATGCCCCCCCCTGCCCACCTCAGTACCAAACATCCAGGAGCATAGAGGCCCCCTCCACTGTCACCACATATGCAGAGGTTGCAGCCGTCTCCAATTTGTGCGAGAGTCGACCAGCAGGGAAGATTTATGAGCACCTGGCTGGGACTTGTAGCAGGCGAGCCAAGGATATGGAGGAGCTGGTGGCTCTGACGCCCCCCTCCCCGTTTAGAGACTCATCTCTGAGCTCCAGCGGCAGCTCCACCCCCTCGCTGTCCCCCGCCTCAGAGGCTGAGTACGACCAGCTGCTGCTGAGACACTACAGCCAGAGCTCCTCCTCCCTCTAAACCTGCTCTCTGCACACCAGTATTTTTTAAAAGACTTTCTTTAGATGGGACCAGACTCTTGGATTGCTTTTTCTACACATGGATATTGAGAAAAAAAAACACATTTTCAGATGGGATTCAAATGCGCACACACATGCCTCAATTGAGAGGACTGACAGAAAACACATCAGTGGCGAGACTACAAATACAAAAGGATTAAATTAAGCAAGTCAGTGCTTCATCATTTGTCTTCAAGTGAGTAAAAAACTTGACAAACTAAAAGACACTTACGGGCATTTTACACCACTTTTAAATGCTATGATAAATGTCAGAATTGTTTCAACTTTCCAAATTCCAAAGAACATACTGATAAGCTGAGAAAACAAATGTGAAATTGCCTATTACATTTTTATTTCATTATAACTTTGTCATTGATCCTAAGTTACCAAATATTTATGTTCAGTGTTTCTTTGATTATGCCAAAATGGCTTATATACTGAATTTCAAATAGACATCTGATTTTCTTTTTAGGTAACTACAGGTATTATTAGTAACTCTTAAGATAGTTGTATTTCAGTTGTATATTTTGCATCACATATTATAATAAACACAAAAAGCGTGATTTGTTTTTATTGCTTACTGTATCGCTGTTGTACATGTGATGTTTTTTTATATCTAATAATGTGAGATCTGGTGGATGCCGATTGTATCAGCATGATGGCGTCTGTATAGAAGATAAAAGATAACTTTCCTGAAATGAAAAGGTTAGTTTTCCACGTCTTTTTCCTGACCTCTTGTTTGTTTTCAGTCCTGAAAGACTTAAGCAAGCATTTTGTATCCTGATGCTAGAGGAGAACATGTACAGATGCTGCATGAGGTGAATCAGAAAGCAGGGGTTTCCAGTGTGGAAAGTTCTCAATGACCCTCCCTTTTCTTGGAAAGAAAGAATGAATCCCCCTCCCATTTTGATAGGACAAGAGCTCTTTGTGTCTTAAAAGAGTTAAAATACCTTGTCTTAATGGACTCAACGTCATCAGGTGTCTAACCGACAAAGACATGGACTACTTGGATGTGTTTTTGACTCTTTTCTCTAGAAGTGACTTAGCTGAATGTACAATAAGTTGTAATTTGAAGTGGACCAAAACGATCTTCCTCCTCAGGATGTGTCTGAACCAAAATACCTTGACTTTAACTCATAACTGCCGAATGAGCACCGTCTTTTGTTGGCTCAGTTTGCATGATGTCAGGATTTGGTTTCCAATCTTTAAGGTACATTTGTAATGCATTTCTTTTTGATATTCTACATGTTAAACCAATAAGATGAATATATACAGTAGCAAAGTAATGATACCATGTGTGGGTGCATTGATGTGTTTTTATCACATATATCAGTTCTAGGAGAAGAGAAGCAAACTGAAAATGTGCCAGATTTTTCAGACATCCATTACAAAACAGTTGTTTTTTTAACTCTGTATGTGCGAATGTCTTTTTGCAGTAAATTACATGTTTCTATGAATGGGCTCATGGTGCAGGCATTATAAAGAGGATGTTCTTTTTTATAATATTTTATAACATTTAACTATGTTATTGATCAATTATTGAACATTCTTTTTTTATATCTGCATTTTGGACTGTCTGATGATAGGGACAATGTTAAATAACAGGCTAGCAGATGTAACTGATGATATATATGTCATAGCTAGCTTATGCTCATTTAACAAACATATTTCTTCTGTATGTTTACAGGCAGAAATGTGTTCATGTTTTTTCAAATTTGAAGAATTTTCTACTGGCTTTAGTTTGTTAAAATTATCATGAGTAATTCTCATATTTGCATGCAGGTTTGTGCCAATTTTTGCAGTTGTATACTACGCTTTATGCTAATTATTCAATCTAGAGAAGATGTTTGTCTTATTTTATCATCTGCATTTCATAATTTACAATCTAAACTAATGTTGAATTAAAGGTTTACAACCAAAATGCAACATACTGTATGTTCTTGTAATTGTTTCAATTCATTGTAAATACAATAATTAACATTGTAAAAAATGAAATGTTTTCCCCTTATTATACGATTAATATTATATTTCTCTATTCAAAGTCAAAAGCACAACTGGAACTAGAATAAAATGTCTCAAAGTGACTTTAAATTACCTTTTAAATATCAAAATGTATATGCTATTAAGGAGCCAGTGTTGTAGTCAAGTCACCAATTCACGAGTCCAAGTCACTCTCGAGTCACCACCCTTCGAGTCCGAGTCCAAGTCTGAGTCACCAAGGGAGAGTCGTAGTCGAGTCCGAGTCCAAGTCCGAGTCACCCAAGGAGTGTCCGAGTCGAGTCCGAGTCCGAGTCATCATTACCTGTGTTCGAGTCCGAGTCCAAGTCTGAGTCACCTAAGAAGAGTCCAAGTCAAGTCCGAGTCACAAGTCTTCATGTATTAATCTTCGTGGATATATGTGTTGAAATGTAGCTGCTCCTCTACATTGCTTTTATCCTGTCATGTTATACTAATCTGTCTATTGAACTGCTGTGAAGCCAGTTTGGCTACAATTCTTGTAATAGGTGCTATACAAATATAAAGCTTATTACTAATATTAATATTATTATTATTATTATTAAATAAACTATGTTTAAAATGAGTTACCTTTTAGAGAAGTGATTATATTTGTATGCCAATATTTTCCTATGGTAAAGTTTTCGTTTTGCACTTTTATTTTGATAGTAATAAGATCGGGACTCTTATTTTGAAGGAACTTTTACCGGTTAAATCGGTTTACTGATGAAGATTTAGCCCCAGAAAGCACATGGCTACTTAGCATGCAAAATGACGTCATTCTGCATGTTAAGTAGCCATGTGCTTTCGTGTTATCGGCTGAATCTTTATTTATTGATTAGATCACGTTACTCTGATGATAGTGTTCAAGACAGCCTATATGTCTGAACTCGATGTTTAGAGTAATGTGTTACGGAGCCTTCTCTTCAATATTGTTTCCACATAGAGCATTTTGCGCTGCTCTTTTCCAATGGAAAAAATGGAAGCAGAATGTGTGAAAGCATACAGCACGATGCGGGGTGTGTCTCTAGACATCTTTAGACTGGAATAGCGGGCCCCAGTACGTGAACTCGCCTCGCAGCCGGTGCACACGCCAGGATAGAGGACATCAGACTCCATAGAAAGTCCGAGTCCGAGTCCAAGTCGGAGCGTCAATGTACAAGTCGAGTCCGAGTCATCGTGGGGGGAAAAATTCACGAGTCCGAGTCCGAGTCCAAGTCATCGTGCGCGAGAATTCACGAGTCCAAGTCCGAGTCGCGTCAATCAGTGCGCGAGTCCGAGTCGAGTCACGAGTCCCGAAAATCGGCACTCGAGTCCGACTCGAGTCCGAGTCCAGGACTCGAGTACTCCATCTCTGTAAGGAGCCAATGCCATAATTATTATAATGGCAAGAAACTGGATCATGTTCAGCGTTATTTATACACTTCCCAAGACCATGTTACTTCTCTAAATATGAAGATAATTGTGTCGAATCATGGTGCAATATTTAATAAAGAAATAGGGTTTCTGGGGCACTCTTTATTAAATAACATGGGATTTAATTTTCTATGTTGTATATTAAATATTAAATTTGTTTTATAAAATGTAAATTTGTTTTATAACATGTACATTTGTTTTATAACATGTACATTTGTCTCAAGCTTTGTTAAAGTGTTTCACACTTTTTAATTGTCGATTGCACCTCTCAGCCACCGTACAATTGAGTGTCAGAAGGCTATATTTCACTAGACTCACGAAGCCCTGTGACAGGAACTTCGCGGAGCGTACAGTAAACCGTGTGCACTTCGAGTCTCCTCAGGGAGAGGCAGAGAGGTCACAAGTTCCCAAGTACAGCCCCTGAGCAGACACACACTTCCCCACAGGAGAGGCGGTCACTACACTCATTACAAAGAGGCTGCACACGGGATTACCGGGTAGGAATCCTCAAACTGCCCTCGAGTCAAAGTTGCTGAAAGCTGCGTTACACCTCGGAGGTCCAACAAGAGCAATGACCAATCACTCATCACACTCCAACGGCATGCACACCCACCGCCAGGAGCACCTGTACAAGGTGCTGGTGATCGGAGACCTGGGGGTCGGGAAGACCTCCATCATCCGGCGATACGTCCACCAGACATACTCCACCAACTACCGGGCCACTATCGGAGTGGACTTCGCACTGAAGGTGTTGAACTGGGACTCAAAGATTATCCGGCTCCAGCTGTGGGACATCGCAGGTATGACGCTGAACAAGTGTAGCCTATTTGTTGTCATTGCTAGTATACAGTGATCATCTCCTTTATGCTGGTGTCACCACAACAATTCAAACATAAAATTAACCCTCATATATGGCTGTTATTTCCCTGTTTAATTTGTTTAAAACATGTGGAAGAACTTTGGAAGCTCTTTTTATGCTAATTGAAAAAAAGAATCTAAAATGTTCTTGAGCAACTCTGTTTGTCATAGTTCCTAAAAAGTTGATCGTTTGTGGAGATAAGACTTATCTTCAAATTGACAGTGAGTGTGACTGTTGTAAAAATGATGAAACATTCACAGCTCAAAGATGCACTGTCATTGTTGAGAGCTTGTTTCTGACACAGAGTATCTCTACTCTCTATCTCTCTCTCACACACACACACACACACACACACACACACACACACACACACACACACACACACACACACACACACACACACACACACACACACACACACACACACTGCTCTTAAATGGCAGTATTGGTGGTTGGGAAGTGAGTGGAGGATCTATTAGCTCTTCTAGAACCATCAACTCCAAGTGGTTGGTTGGAGCACTTGTATGAAGGGACTGTCAAACTGTATTGCTCCTTTTATAAACATGTCAAGGCAAACCAACAGTAGTAACAGTGACGAGGACTTTGGTGGAGTAAGTGTAATGCTAGCTGGGAGGTAAAAGTTCACAAAGTCTGATTTAACTAACATCATAATACTGGGATTATGTTGAGTACGATTTACATGTACTGATACTGATACATGGATAGAAAGGATAATCGTTAAGTATAACATAATACAACTCCTGTCTGTCTGTCTCCTCCTAATGCTGCCTTACATTTATAAAAACCACTTGCTGTCGAATCTTTGACTCTATACATGGGCACATTGGTGATTTTAGCCATGCTTACAATGACAATATTGCCTAGATAAGAAGACCTCATTCAGTCATTATTCAAGGTACGGTGATGCGTCATGTGATTCTAGGAGCATGTGAGGGAGATTTAAAGGCAAGTCACAGGAGTGTCATTGAAGCCTGAATAAAAAAAAAAAAACATCATTAGTCACTCACACACAAGCACATGCTTCCAGCGGGCAAATGCAATTATGAGTAACATCGGATTTAGTTTCATTTATCTGCTTGGAATTCATCCCAATAGGAATAGACTAACTAGGGTCTGTGAAATTCTGTTTTGTTTTAATATGGTGGTGAAGTTAACAGGTTGTAAAGCCTGAAATTGCACTGTCATTTTATTATATGACAGCGTGTCAAGTGACATGTGTGACGTGTGTGTCTGTCTGCTGTCACACCGCTGCACATGAGGGTTCCTTGTGAGCAATAACAGTCTTTGATAAAAAAATTCGCAAGAAAGGAGGAAGTTCTCAATCCACGTATTGTCAGTTTTTCCATTTCCTCTCTTACTCATGAGGCAAATAGCAGCATTTTGTCTTGTCGAAGTATCTCTAGCAAAGCCAAAAGTGTACTCTGAAGCGTACATATTTATTAACAGTGTAAACTTTTCTGCTGAGAGGGCATGGTATGTAAAACAAGCTGAATGCAAACGCCTACACACTCAGTTTGGACCAACAAGTATTCACATTAGACAGCAGAACACAACCCCCTGGGAAATGTGATGTTGACAGCTTTTCTAACCTGCCCCTCAAGCAACTTATTTTCATCCCTAATACACACATTAATGAACACACAAACACGCGTATCTCCACAAAGATATTTCACATTGTTATATTCTTACAAATACATTGTTTTAATACCGTTTTAGTCTGGGTCAAAGTTAGTTTTTATGACAGGTCAGGGAAAAATACAGGTTTAATTTAAGTAGGCCTATTATCAGCAGGCACAAGCAGTTGCATTGACCATCTGGTTAAGAGCAACGTGACAGAAAGACCACAGGAATGTGCTGTTTTTGTGGGAATGCAGGCTGTGCTAACTGCAGTCCGAATGCCAGCTGCATTAGCTGTTTTGCTGCAAAAAATAAGCGAAACAATGAGAATCTGTCATTAAACTGGTGGCCAGGAAACAGCAGTTTTTCAACACTTATCAATGAAGCCCCCTTTGTGTTTGTTTATCACAGGTCAGGAACGCTTTGGAAACATGACAAGAGTATACTACCGTGAAGCCATGGGAGCCTTCATAGTGTGCGATGTGACCAGGCCCACAACCTTTGAAGCCGTCCTCAAATGGAAAGAGGACCTGGACTCCAAACTGATGCTGAATAACGGGCAGAGCATTGCCACAGTGCTTCTGGCTAACAAGTGCGACCAGGGAAGAGAGCTGACCAACAACAGCATCAAAATGGACCAGTTCTGCAAGGACCATGGCTTTGTTGGCTGGTTTGAGACATCAGCTAAGGTGAGATCAGAGTATGCTGAAGGTATTCTTGTTTGCAATGTGTGAAATGAAATGTATTCCTGCCGGTCCTGGGGCATTTGTAGTTAAAGGAATGCTTTCCCATTATAGGAAATGCTCTTATCAACTTCATTGATAATAATTAGCTGTTAAAATTAAACCCACTTATAAATCTGTCAGGTAAAAATGAACCTGGAATCAGTCGACAATTACAGCCCGTCCACACAGCGGCTTTGGAAAAAGCTTGCCGGCGGGCGTGTCTGAAGCTCGACCAACAACAAATCACATGAATCTCCCGCCCCTGAGACACAAGCAGCGGTTTGATTGGCTAGAGCTTGTACTGGCATATGATTTGATTGGCTGACGCTTCCACCGAAAGCTTCAGAAGCTTCAAAAGTTGAACATTGCTCAACTTTTGAAGCCTGAGATGCCTGGAAAGCTCCGCTCTGCTTCCCACAATGCAGTTCGGCGAAAAGTGAGGCAAAGTGACGTCACCCCATTCAAAGTGAATGGGCAGAAGCGTTGGAAGATTTTTTTAACGCTGCTGTGTGGACGTACCGTTAGCTTAGCTTGGCATTATAAATGGAAATAAGGGGACATGGCAAGCCTGGCTCTGTCTTAACGTAACAAAGCACATACACATATCTTATTTAATATGTACCAAAAGTAAAAGTGTTAAACCACCAATCGCTGTTGACGATTGTTTAATTTTATAGAGCAAGAATGGCTTTCACCCCTGTTTCCAGTCTTATTGCTAAGCTAAGACGACGCTATAGTTATGTAATATTTGACGTGAGTGTATCTATCTTCTTATACAACTCACGAATGCAAAAGAGACAACATCTCAAAATGTTGAAGCATAGCTCTAATCATCTACATTATAATGAATGGTTCAGATGGTAGTCCTTGACACACTCAGTGGAGACCCTCTCCCACTCAGGTCACTGCAGTCAGAGACATCCCCATAGAGCCTGCTGGAATTTCATATCCTGGTGGAAAGTGTCTCGCTGAGATACATTTATAAAGCAGTCAAAGTTGTGTCGTGTTTAAAAAGTCCACTGTTACTGTTACCAAGTAAAGACAAGTTATTTAATCAGTAAACTCGTTTTTCTTGACTAGAATAGAACATTTTATGTCTGAACTAATCATTTCTGTACAGTGTTTGTTTATTTGTAAGGCTAGAGCTCCCATATAATCTAGGTAAAACAGGATATAATATCTGAGATGCACAATCATTTGAATAAGCCTACTTCTTTATACCTAAAAAAAACCTCTGCAGTACTTAGACATGGCTATACATCCTACACAAGTCTTTATTAACAAAGCTTCTGCTGACACTAATTTGTTTTGGAGAGCAAAAGTGCACTGTCACTCGTGTGACATCAAGACTCAACATTCTCAAAAGGTCAAAGGTTAATAAGGTTCACGTTCAGCCAGTAGTGTCAGAGACGGGCGCTATGCTTGCAGACATAAATGTTTTCCTTTGGTAGCAATTAGAAAAACATGCGCAACTTTGTAATAGCTGCAACCAATTACACACACACACACACACACACACACACACACACACACACACACACACACACACACACACACACACACACACACACACACACCACACACACACACACACACACACACACACACACACACACACACACACACACACACACACACAGTTTGGCCACAGTACCTAAATCTTTGTTAAAGGCCACTCTCACCTCACGCCCTTTTTTCAATTTGGCATGAAAAAAAAAACACCTTCCCCCTCAAACAAAAACCAACAGTTTTCTCTCTTTTTTAGGACAATCTTAACATTGCCGAAGCTGCAAACTTCCTTGTCAAGCACATCATGGCCACAGAGAATGACATCCTGAAAAGTGTGGTACCAGACACCATCTCACCTCAGCTCGACTCCAACAAGCACATGAGCTGCTCTGGATGCTCCAAATAATGAATGGAGAGACAACAGAAGGACAAAGAGGGACAGGCACAGTCTTCCAAAGATGTATCAACAGTACAATGTGGCTTCGTTGGTCCAAACCAAAGTTAAAGGTTTTCATTTGGTACAGAGAACCAGAGCTCACAAAGGAAATCACATGGACTCAGGAGTTCTTGGTTTCAAGAATGGCAGACCCACACGTGTCACCTCTATGTTCTTTGGCATGATGATTGAAAGTGTCAAACAGTCAACTTTGCCTTTTTTGGCAGTTCTTATTAGGTGGTCTACACCCTCTTCTTATAACAGTGTACTTGGCACAAGACTGGCAACTGTCGCACAACTTGCCGGACCAAACTTATCAAACTGCTCCCAACATGCTTTAGGCAACATACCCGACGTGCTGTAATTACAGGCTGAAAACTGGAGTCTTGTTTCTTGGTTCTTCATCATTTCCAGCCAGTTTGGTTGTGTTGCTGTTCCCCATCTGTTTACATTCACCTCTATCTAAACATGGTGAAAAGAAACAGTGTGGGTGACATACAGTCCTCCGTTAACATTATTCTGTCAGAGCCATGAAAGCAGTATTGACTTTGTATGTAAGTGAATTTTGCACATGTATTTTTGATTATGATTTTAAGTTATTTACAGTTAACCATTGTGAATGCAAAGATGATATTCAGCTTGACATATTTTGACTATTGTGTGTGATTGAGATTAACGAAAGGGAGAGTTAAAAACAAACATCCTGGAGCTCGCCTAGTTAAACTTGTTTTTGTCCGGTAGGCAGTTCCCGTGGAGCAGTTTAAGTTGAAGTATTCAACATTTGTCAGACATGTTTCTAATGGAAGAGAGTGGTTTGCTGCCATAATTACTCTGTCTGGTTGCAAAGTGATTTCTGTTTCTTCTTCATCTGTTCAAAAATGTTTTTTATCTGTGCATGTGTTATCTTTCTTCATCAGAAGGAGAATTGTGTTGATTGTCTGGATGTCTCCTGGACTTTATTATGAGTTCACTTGCCAAAGCCTAACCCTCTGTATCCATGGTAACTAGATCATTTCTTATGGGTATCCTCGAACATCCATGTGAAGCTATTTCTCGCTGTACTTGCAACCATGCAGGCACAAATGCACACGCACACGCACACGTACACACACACACACACACACACACACATACACACACCCACACAGGCAAAGAGATCTTTCTTCTCTCCATGTCCTTGTTGCTTTGTAACTACATATTTTCTTCTCTCCCACTCGCTTCCATCATTTGTTTTTGTTTCTGATACTGAAAAATTCTCAGTCTCTGTCTAAATATTTCTTTTACATGTCCTCTTCTTCTCTTTTCCTGATCATCTCTCATGATGTGATTCGTGTACAGTACGCACAGACATCTACACGCCCAGAGAACTATAGTACTTTTTTCGATCATCCAACAAGTTATTGTCATTATTTAAAGTTGTTTTCCTCCATTGGCGACCTTGCATCTTTGTATAATCCCACTAAGGGATTATACATTTATCATAATAAAATGTCTTTTTTTCATTGTAATTTAAGACAGAGAAGACTTGTACCTTGTATGACCTTCGTTACATTGTTTCTTACAGCAGCTGTTGGTCTGCAGGGTTAACACAGTATTTATAAGAGTGATCACAACAGTGTCATGTGTTATTGAGTGATTTATTGGAAGTAATGCACAGCATGCACATTAGGGCCTGATAGAATTAAACACTGTCTTCTTCACAGGATTACAATGTCACAGTGTTAGTTTGGCTCATCATGAGGGTGTGTGACATCATGTGACATCAGCCTGGTGTTACACTATTGTAGCAAGAACTACATTATCTCTCTCTCACACACACACACACATTCAGAGGAGAAAATTACTTTGTATCAGATAATCAACTTTTTTATATCAAAAGTAAACTGCACACCTTTAACCACCACTTGTGGATTGTTCGTGTTTATTATTTATTGTGAAGTAATAACAAATAAATTAACACATGTTACACATGTCCCTCTTTTTGTAACTCATGTAATAAAATGTGATATGCAACAAGATACAGCATAAGTAATATGATAACCATATTTATCAAGATATTGCATGTTTTGACACGTGAATAAATAAATAGTCTTTATGAAATAACCACATGGTAAAGCCTAATTTTGTATACATCTTTGTAAATTCAGTACTTCATAAATGAAAAGTACAGAAATGCAAAATAAACATAACAATTGCAGGTGAATTTAAATATTTTTTAAAATAAATCTTATTCTTTTACATTATTATGCAGCGAGATCGTTGTCCTGAGCTGTATTTTGGATTAATGGCAGTTAAAAGGTTGGAGAAGAGAGCTTGTCACTCTAAGGTTGGAAACTATTACGGTAATCACATTGAACTTGTAAAATTGCACTGGAAAATATAACTTGAATCTATATATTTCATATCAGTTCTTCTGTGAAATTCTAGTTGTTTTAGGTGTTATTATCACTACAGACGATGTTATCACCATATCTCAATATAATAAATATAACAGTTCAAAGGAAAAAAGGAAAACATATCATATTGAATTGTTGCCCATTGCCAGTTCTACAACCCATTTTAGAGCCTTATGATCACTGCAGTAAAGCTTTTACTGTAAGAGATAGGGGTGTGTGTGTGTGTGTGTGTGTGTGTGTGTGTGTGTGTGTGTGTGTGTGTGTGTGTGTGTGTGTGTGTGTGTGTGTGTGTGTGTGTGTGTGTGTGTGTGTGTGTTTTCAGGCTGATCAAGGGCTCTCAGGTCCTCATTAGGAAGCCCCATGACTGCGTGGATTACTCTCTGCCTGAGGGATTAGATTTGGTCGTCCGCTCTTGGCTCACATTAAAGACATCACCACCAACAACCCATTAACTGATCTAAAAATGCTCTAAGAAACAAGATCACCCCATACTTCATAATGTTGATGAAGTTGTGTCAGTGGGTTTCAATGTTTTAGAATGTTAATTACGTTTCAAAAGATGTAATTAAAACAACACTTCAATTAAAACTTCTAATTTCAATTTGGGACAATCTTCTGCAAGTTTAACTCTTCCTATGAAAACAGCTGGCACAGATCTCACTGTTCATTACTGCGATTACGAGCCCAACATATTGTGCTCCCTTATAGAGCTCAGGCTCTGCCAGAGAACCACCTACAGAAAAACGCCCACATTTTCTCTGGGAGAGAGAGACGGCGAGAAAATGAGAGACAGAGACGGAGAGTGATGAGGAAGAAGCAGGTAGCAAGACAAGAAAATGAGATGGGAGAAAGCAATAATTCCATCTTCCAATACTTAAATCTGCATGCAGTTGAACAGAAGCAAAAGTATTAAATTGGTCAGTTTTGAATGCCTTTCAAATAATTTTCAGAGGGAATTTACTTATATTTGATCAGATGACTCTCTATTAGATCAAAACACAATCAGCCAAGACATCGAGACCAACAGTCATCTGGAATATAACAGAATAAAAGCAGCAATAACTCAACATGATAGAAGAGAAATGATCTGATCTGATCAAGATTCCTCACCATCAGAAATTGCTCATCTGGTGCCATCTGTTGACACATTAGTAACACGGCAGGCATTTTATTCACTTCAAGTTTCTGATGCTGATTGATTGGAAACAACCTTCCCTTTTCCTTTTCTGTTGATATTCATTTGCTAACCTCTCTTTTATTTGTTTTAGTATATCTACTGAAAGCTTGGCTATAACAAGATGCATGGCCTCAGGACATGGTGACAAGGTCCTGTCAAATGCAGGACAACAGAAATGGTATTCTCTGCCCAAAGATAATATATCAAAAGAGAAATCATTTCAATTACTTCGATGCCCAGGACCCCATGGCGGAAGGACGGCTGCTATAATAGTGACCTTTGAATGAAGTACAAATGATAAACAATTCCTAAGTTTCCTCATTTATACAGGAAAAACACAAATATGAACACTATGGGCTTTAGCAGAACACATGCAGCCATGAGTGAAGTGCAGCCACTTGAGGATGACTGGTTTAAACTTAATTACAGCGTGTGAACTTGTGCTTTCCCAAGCTAATGACCTCCTCTGTTGGGCTGTTTTTGTCATTTTAAAGCCCTGGGACCTCAGCAACCCTCGGTTCCCACTGCCCAGTGCCATAAGCCATTATGCCAAGTTAACCTGCGTGACCTTTACCCCCTTGGGTTATACTTTCATTCTCTCCTTATGATAAGTTCATTAATAGCCTCTGAAAATGACCAACATTGCTGTGTATTACAGATCTTAGTACAGTTTCATAATCATCTGAGGAGTATTACGTTATGTTTGCTCACATAAAAGAAAATTGAGAGATGAAATAACAGTCCCTCTATAATTAAAATAGCCCCCAGAGAGAGACAGAGGGAAAGAGGGGGAGTGAAGAAAGAGGGAGAAAAAAAGAGAAACTTAAAAAGTAATAAAGATGAAACTAAGCTAAGTGACATGAGATTCAGAAGGGAGAAACATGAAAGTGAAGTATTAAATCATGAATACATCTGTCCAGGTTGAAAGATGAGTCCTGTGAGGACCTTAGGAGCTCAGCTATTCATCACTCACTCTGAACACTGACAGATTCTACATCTCATTAACCTTGCTGATGGTTTTTCAATTACACTGCATCTTCACAAGTTGGGCATGATAACAAACACCATTAACTGTTTATTTTTCTGTTTTATTATTGATTGGTTTTGTTTCACTTTTGTTTATGAAAATCCTTTTAGATATATACAGTCCTTTTTTGTGCTTTTAAAATAAATGAACAGTCTTAACAATCTTTTGACTGTAGTAGTACTGCCACTAGAGGGCAATAAGCACCAGCGTTATCATGCAACAAAACAAAACGTTCTTTTGTTGAGGACATTTAACACCCTCAAACCCAACTGTCCTTAAAAATACAATGTTGTCAGTCAGAATTTCCACATAAAATCAATGTACCCTTAACGTAATTTTTGTATTACTGTATTAGTTCACATTAGACACAAATCATTTTGAGGCTAGATGCACTGTAAGTGTGATCAAGAGTACAAAAATAAACATATGCACATATAATACAGTGAAATTAGATCATGAGGAAGTTGTGAAGCTGGTTTACTGTAAATAATCCTGAGTGTCAATATCTACTACGGTATAAGCGGGGAGAAAATAGGTCAAAGGTTATAGGTGGAAGTCAGCAGAAACGCTGAGTAATGCATGGAATGCAAAACAACAATAAATAATTGTGCTTTGAGACACAAAATATAAACATAAAAATGCTCATACTTCATGAATCAAATCCTGCCGCAATTCAGGACAAACTGGAATGAATAATGATCGGAATGATTTTCATCAGACAGAGTGAAGCAGCTTTTCTCCTGAAAGTGTGTTTTTGTTCGTATATAAAAGTTCTGCTAATATGCACATTTAAGCACATTAGGAGGTTTGTTTTAGTGAGTTCATGCTGTGAGCAACCTAAAAGAGCCATGTCACTGTGGTTGGACAACCACAATGACAGTTGTCTGGTTTGTGTGCAAAATCTTGTTTTGTGTTGCTCTCTCCATGGAGAGGGCCTAACCCACACTGTGTGCAAGAGGTATTGTTTGCTGAGTTTTCCTATTAACACCTGAGAGCCTGTATAAAACACTTTCGAGTTTTAAGAAAGGAAATGAATTATGTATAAGGATGAAGTGCAATTTCCTGAGATATGAAGCAGTGAAGCCCATTATAAATATAGAGACCATTGTTTCCTTTCATTATGATTAACGTTGTGTGTCTTAGTGCTAAAATGTTAACATTCTCAACATGCACCCTGGCTGGGTTTATTTGTGAGCAGGTACCGATCAGCTTTCACCTGCAAACAAAGTCTGATAAGCGGTTTGCCAAGGGTGAAACATTAGCTCTACAAGGTAATCAGACTTGTCATTGGTGTAAAAGTAAAATGAATAGTTTTGGACACCTGGAATGCATTCCTGACCTCTTGTGTAGCAGAAGTTAATTAAAAATGTTCGTTGATTGCAACCACTCAATATAAATGTATCAAAAGTATGCCACTGCTTTATAAAACAGCCTGTCCTCAGTCCAAAGTCTGCAGTTAAGTCTTTAGATACTGTAGGATAAAGGTAGGGAATCATTGAATTATTAGTTTGACATCATAATCAACCCTATTGGTTTTTGCTGTATCTAAAGCGAATAATGATCATCTCTGGTGAGTGTATCCTTTCTGGAGCTGGAAGCCTCATCAGACGCCATATATTCATCATGGCCAACCAGACAATCTGACCGTACAGCGTGAGGCTGGAGGAGCAGCCCAGGCTGTGAGAAGAGAGCGTCCATGTGAGTAGAGAGAGAGGACAGAGGGCAGTCCGGGGAACTGTATTTGGCCAACACCTGGAGCTGCTCCGGCTGCAGGTTGGCTTCGTTGCAGACCCTCTGGCATAATGCAGAGACATTGTGACATGCTTTGGACTTCATCTGGCTCAGATGGCTCTTCTCCGTCATCAGTGTCTCCCTCTCTGTCTTCTGTGACACACACAAGCAGCACATGCAATCTAAATGAATAAACAAGAAGCGGATTGGAAAGTAATTGCTGATTTAAAGAGAAGGTTTTTCGTCTATTTACCAGTTTGTTGATTTCACACTGCAGATTATATATGCAGTCTAGTTTCCTCTTGCGGCAACGCTGAGCAGCGAGGCGGTTTTTGCTGCGGCGTCTCATATCGTGGACAAACTCCAGCTGTTCTCGGGTAAAGACCTGTTGCTTCAGCAGCTGCTGGAAGTCATTTCTGCTCAGATCAACAATCCACTCAACAGAGAATGGCAACTGCACCTGAGGACACACAAACAGGAAATAAAGGTTTCACAAGAGAGAAAAGCAAGAGAGTATGTGAAAGATGGAGCAAAATCAATCCTATATGGCATGGTGTCACACTTTAGAAGACATGGGAATGTGGTACAAACACCCCCACTTTAAAGCAGCAGGGTTGTAGAAACAGCTTTGATTTGGTTGATAAGGACTAATTATCATTGTCAACTTGAAATCTTAGGAAATCATTCTTTGAATTAAAATACTATGAATACAAATCGAAAATATGTAATGATCAAACAGATGCATGGAGCTGTTATCGCTCAAAAGAAGGAAATTAATATCGAGTTAAAATACAGTCATGTTAATTTTTTACCAAGATGTTAATCATTTACTTGGAGTTAACTTGTATAGGCAGAGGTTGGGTGCTGGGTTATTGCTTCTGGACAATGTGTGACAGGAAATGTACAATCGCTGGTTTATTGGAGCAGTACCAATCATGTAGTAGTGTTTTATCTAGAGTAAATAAAAGCTTGGTTTCTCCTGTGAAGTGACCTCAGCTTTGTTCAACCTCTCTGTACAGAAACATGAGAGTTTCCTCAAACCTGTCGTCTGTGTGTGTTCATTGTTAACTCAATGGGCTGAGCTGTCAATTTCATGAAATGGACTCTGAGCTAATTATGCACACCGTCGCAACAAACACAAGTAAACACACACACACACACACACATCATTAACTTGGTGAATAATTAACTTGACACTTAAGTGATTCTGCTTTCTGTTGAATGAAAGCTCATACAACTGATATAATGTTTCTAACAAGCTTATCTAAAGCAAACATAGTGAATTTATCTACATGTGGGGTGAGCTTGCTGACGTTTACTAACACAGACTATTTTCAGCACATGAACTTCCCAGTTAGGTGTCAGCAGGAAGCATATATACATATATCAAAGAACAGAGCAGATCTGTAGAGAAAAGGCAGACTTGATTCATGGTTTAACCGCTCACCTGTCTGGCCCGCTCTCTTGCGTAGGCCTCACTGTCTCCTTCTGTCTCCGTCTCCCACTCTCCATCCTCCCCTGAGTTGAAGGATGACACACCTGACTGAGAGCCCCCCTCGCACTCAGACAGCTCTGCTCCCTTCCATAAGCACCTGCCTTGTTCCAGATCCTGGAAAAAGGGACAGCTGGTGCTTGTGGAGCTGATGTTGTGGCACTTCCTCCACTCTAAAGACTTGCTCTGTGCCTGTCCGCTCCCTGTATCGGAGGAACTTCCTGCATCAGGCTCCACGTCGGACCCCAGCCTCCTCGCCAGGTGCTCGGCCAGCTCCCTTGCCTCTGTGCTCCTTTCTCTGGCATTATCTACTGGCAGGGTCACTCTCTCCATGCTGCCTCTGTCTTGCCAGCCCGAATCTATCTCATCGTCTGCCATGTTTACCTCAGCTTCAACCTGTTCCTCTGCCTTATGGGTAATGGATACTGGCGGCAGTGCACCATATGTATTTGTTTTCTTGCCCTCTGTAATGTCCACGACAAACCTCTTGTGCCCCTGTGACAGAGTGATTGCAGGGGCTTCAACAAAGGTCTTCAGGGGGCAATGGTTCAATATAGACCCTGATGACCTCTCGCCCAGCGATGTGCTTGACCCTGAAGAGACTTCCTTGACAGTGGATCTGTCTGAAGAGCTGATCTCTTCCTCCACATTCATCTCTCTTTCCTTCTTAATCCATTTGCGTTGCCTTTCATGTGTGTCTTTCTCAACCACATCAACCTCCCCACCATTCTCTGTTTTCTTGTCATTCTTCCATGGCTCATCAGCCCCTCCTTCGCTCTGTGTGGTGGAATTTGAGGTGGAAATATGAGGGAATTCAACATCAGTTTCTTTTTTGCTCTTAGCACTGCTGCAGGAGAGGTCACAGTCGTCCCTGATAACTGTTGCAGGATTGTTCAGACTTTTATCTGTGACACAACTTTCCTTACAACAAGCTAGCTGGAACTTGCGATACTTTGGACATTGCGTATATTCAATGGTGGTCCCTTCAGCTTCAGGTGTGAGAGTGCCTGCTTTGTTCAGACTTCCCATTTTGTTGTTCACTGATTTGTTACAGTGCCAAGCCACTTCCTGCGTACATGGTGAGTCATCAACTGGTTCTACTTCTTTCTCATCGAACAAAACACTGCCAGAGTCAATGTCTTCCTTTAACAATCGTGTCTTACATATCTTCTTACAACAGGTCTTTCTCGGGACAGGGGCAGAGTCATTGCTGGAGAAGAACTTGGGGAGGAGGAAATCAAAGCATGATTCGTCTAGGTCTCTGAAACCAAGAAAGGAAACTGAATTGCGTATTTCTAAGACATCGTTTTTCCCGAAGAGAAGTTTGGATGTGTAGGCAAAATTCAGCAATGGTTCAAAGCCAGCAACTGTCACCTGTGAAAGAGGACAAGCAATATAAATGAGCATTATCTTTCTCAAGGATAGCAATAAATAATTCTATAATATGTTCTGTCAGAAGGCAACAATATGCCAGTAAGCCAGGGAAATAAAGCTTCTCCGACCAGATATGTTTTGTGAAATAAGGCCAAGGATTGTAAGATTTTACTGACACAACAACCAATGTAAACAATAATCTATTTTCTATCTTTTTTCTGTGGCTTTTGCATTTACCAAGAAGCTGAATACCAGTGTATTAAAGAATTGTGTAAATGCAAATTCAATTTGTGAAAGAAACACCGTACTTGTGGAATAATAGAAAACACTGAAAAATCTAAAAGAATTTGGTCATTAAAATAGCTTTGTTTTCTAAGCCAGCGGTTTCCTCTTGCAGATCAAATTGGTTGAACACTTTTCTGCTTCTTTTTATTTTTATCTTAGTTTTTCTTCTTTCTAACTTTAGTAATATTCCTTAAGACCCACTGGGAATATATTTGGTACTTAAATATCTCTTCAGGAAACAGGAAACCACTAAGAACCACAATCATTGTATTAAAAAAAAGCATTTGAAGGAAAACTGCAGTCAGTCAAGTGTGTGTCACATAGTATTTACACTAAACAGCATACTAAAATGTCACAGGTTAAACAAATCTAGTCAGCCTATTTACCATCAACACGATTGAGGAAATTAACCATTCATCATACTTCTCACTTCACATTTACACAGAGGTGTGTATGGCAGCACGGCTTGTGTGTTTTTCACTTTCTCTACGTTACTTTAATGTATCTTGAGGTGTCCTCTCACCTCTTGTGGCAGACTGATGACAGCTCCATGCTGTGTGAGGGAGGAAATCCTGTGTGAGAAGTACTCGCTACAGGAAGCGAGCACTGAGCGGTGGGCTCTCAAACTGTGGCCCTCCACCACCACGGTAACATCACACAACGTGTCCCGGCGACGCTGCTCGTCCAGGCGGCTCAGCACATGGGAGGAATGCACCGCAGACTCAAATGTAAACACAGACGACCGTGGAGCAGCCATCACGGACATCTATATGTACACACAGACACACACTGTTACAGTTAACCATTTCCCCTTTTTTGGGATATATAAAAGGTAAAACATAAAAAAAACATACCAACCTTTCAATGCCGCCTTTATATATCCAGCTTTCTTAGAGAAGTGTTAAAGAAAGTCCCATCTTCTGAGCACACATGGTTATTTCTAAATGGAATGCCGTCAGACCGGGCTACGGTTCCCAGAAAGTCTTATCACAACTCTGCTACAAACTAAAAACCGAGCTTGACTCAGTCATATGGCCTGTGTGTGAGTATGTGGGAGGGAGGGGGAGAAAGAGGGAGTGTGTGCTTGTGTGTCTGTGTGTGTAGGCTATGTCGCAACAACTCTGGGTGGAACAGAGCAAGCACTGACTCATGCACTCCTGCTGATATAGGATGAGCAAGCAGTTTTCCCGTCCGTACCAATCCCACCCTTAGATCTGTCTGGGAAAATAACGGGCTTTTCCCAGATAAGCCATTTATAGATTTACCAAGCAAATAATTCAGAGTAAGGGTTTGGAATTATAAACCGCGTGTTTAAACACAATTTAGTCTTTTGTCCATTTGTTTGTTCCAGAGTAAGTGTGGACTAACTCGACTCATTTCAGACAATGCATTTTGTGAACAGATGGTGTAATAACAGAGGGTTAAAAACAACTGAAAATGAACTTTTGCAAGAACTAGTCTAAAATTAAACATTTCTCAGTACTTCTCATATTATGCTGTTCTTCTAGGCAGCAGCAATCTTTCCAAGAGATCAGTTCAAGTCTCTGTCATGTGTTTTTGTGTATATGAGTCTGCCTTCCTTGCAGAAGTCAAATAAATGAACAGCTGTAAAAGAGTACCAATAACCCAGTATTTGTCCTGTTATTTTTTAGGTTTTTGTGCAAGAAACTGTAAAAGGTCAGGTCATGAATATTAGAGGCAGAACAATCATGTAATGAGTTCTCTGTGTACACCTTCAAAGCCAGGATGCCTGGCATTGAAAGTAAAATAAAGTGGACTAATCATCACGACAAAGCAATGTTGCCAATGTCACATGATTCAAAGGAGGAAGAAGGAAGGCTACCAGAGTCAACCTAGCCAATCCGGCGACTGTTTCATAATTCCACAATGAGCTAATCTCCTCGTGAAAAAAAATCTAGTTCCCTTTTCCATGTAAGCACTGCAATATGGACGTAAAGCAGACACCAAACACAACAGCGCTGGAAATGAAACTAAGGAACTGATGCTGGTGTTAAAATAAAATGCACTTTAATAATGGACGCAGGCAATAATCAACGTTTAATCTGGTTGTATAATACCCAGGTGGATGAGATACGCTACATCAATCAAATGTACAATTCTTACAGTGTTGTGTCACAGCAGATGTTCATTGTGATACGTATGAGCGTAATCACCCTTCTTCTTTTACTGTTCCTCACAAAAGGCTATTATTTCCCGGACCCTGACACTTTAAAACCACTCGTCTCATATCCTTTTTATCACAACAGGAACTTGACGGGCAATTGTCTAGGTGGAAGAGAGGGAGCAGGGGGGGGGGGGGGGGGGGGGGGGGGGAACAATTCCTCAAAATACAACATTTGGACCACATCATACCACCTCATGCTACCTCCACAGACCCCAGGTAAAAGATCTGAGTCTCCACAGGACCTGAGACAGATTTCAGATGATCTGGTCACATTCACAGCAGCTGAGTATGAATATACTGTGAGGTATTTGCAATGACGACCAGGAAGGTTCTGCAAGATCACATAATAACACAATCCAGAAAAGTGGCCTTGTGTCATAGCTTGGTAGAATCACTACAACAGCAGATGATGACATCTCAAACAAATGACTCACGAATAAACACGGCACCTTTCTGTGTAATTATCTGAACCACTGACTGTATTTGTGTTGAATGAGCACTAGCTGAGCCTTTATTTCTGCCTGGTTTCCTGCCTGGCGTCAGCTGGATGTTGGGAGGCCTCAGGTTCTGCGGGAGGTCAGAGGTCACGAGGAGTCCTGCCTCGTCTGATTGGGTAAGCAGAGCCTCTCCAGCTGCTGAGCGCACTCGTTGTGGACAGTCATCAGTGTGCGGTTCTCCTCTGTTAGACGCAGAAACTCCTCCTCTAAACGGGCAATCTCCATGGCAACCTTCTCATCCTCCACCAGCTCTGCCAGCAACTGACGCCTAAATAGAGTGAGATAAAAACATTAACAGAGGGTGCACATTGCTCTTTTTCTTAGTATTTCTCCAAATTATATAATTCATTTTCTGAATAATAATTTCTTAATTCTCTATTTCTTCCTGATTAATCTTATTTTCAGTTGTGAAAACCTGGACCCAGCATACACTTGACTGCATGCAGAAAAATACCCTGAACAGGTTCCTAGATCAGATAAAAGGCAGATTTGTAGACTAGGCTTACATTTATATCTATGAGCGATTCATATTCTTGAGCTGTTTTGTTTCTTAAATGTGGGAGGAAACCAGAGAAACTCAAAATAAAGATGGAAACAATGCAAACTTACAGAAAAGACTGAGCTTCAGAAATACAAACATTGTTACTGGGCAACAATGCTAACCACTCTGCAATAAGTTAATCATACATTTGGCTAATATTCAAGATGCAAAAGGCACATTTTTGTTATGTATAAGAGTTCTTACAAACCCATATTACAAACATATTGGCTAGTGATGCACAGCTACAGTGTAGAGCCTTTTATATGAAAGATAATTTCAACAAAGGTCAAAGATCTCAGTGAATAAAACGAACATCTGTCTGAATTCTTTTCCCCCAGATCAACTGAATTGTTGATGTCCTGTACCGTAAATCCACTATGCCTTAGCACATGTAGGTGCATGACAAAATAAATAACATAAGCCAACTTTTTTGGAATCAAATCCAGTTTTGGTTTAGGCAGGATGACCTGACTTTGCCTGGCAGTGATTTCACACTCTTGGAAGAGAACAGCGTTTGGACTTTGAGAGGCATTGTGAGCACACAGACACGTATATGTATGTGTACGATGCGTGTGTCATGGCCTCAAGCCAGAAACTGTGTGAATGTCAGGGTTGTATTACGGCTGGTAAGTGCCAAGTCACACAAAAGCAGCATTACCAAAGGGGGAAATTATTCTTTATTCTACAATGCAGGCTGTCTGTAGAGCTTTCATGACTGAACAGGTTTTCATTTGCTGAAGGGGTTCAATGTTAGATGATTGAATGGCACAAACCATACTTTTTTTTAACCAAATTTACACACACATATGATACATATATACAGTATATAGGTACAAAAAAAATCCAACTCTGTTTCAAAACATGAATTGATTTTGACTCAGATTGACATTTTGTCTAGGCTTCGCCATAATATGAATTCATTTGATTGTGACAGCAGGATACTGACAGGGTTTTTTTGTGAAGTGTTTTGTGTTATTATGGCTACTCTTTTGTTTAAATATGGATCACAAACAATTCCTTCAAATATTATGTTAGTTTAAATTTACTGGATGGACTTTTAATTTGTAATCATCCTTTTCACATACCTATAACACCTATTTTAGTATTTTCATTTCCTGATGTAAAAAGCAATAATACAAATAGACAGTTCAGCGGAAACTATGACATATGATATGACTCATCACCTTATCTTTCCATCTCTTCTCATTCTCTGTCTATTTCCAGTTGTTACACTCTCTAAGACTGGTAATATCATCCTTTTTGAAAAGCATAACTTCATTTATTTTGTAATACTTTGTGACAAACACCTAAAACACAAGGAGAAGGCTTTTGGTCACGGTCCTTTACAATTTTACAATCGTATATGATTTCATTTTTTAAAGGGATTAAATAATTGTATTCATCTGCAATTAAAGTTAAGCTTTTTCAAACCACAGCGTTTTCCAAAACAAGCGAAACACAGTGTGATTGATGATCAGGGAATCCGATGCATTACATTTTTGCTGCGTTTCCGTTTTCTTTTCAGGAGCAAGTTGAAACGTGCATGTGCATATGTTTCCTGCTGTGTGTAAGTAAGTCTGTTTTACAGAGAGAGGCTAAGAAAAGAGGAAAGATCCTTCTTAGCCCAAAAAAATGCATTTGGAAACCAGAAAAGAGGAATTCAATCTGATGTAAATAATACCGATTGTTTTTCCTATTTAACGAACAACTAATACACCATCATATGTGCTCATTTTGTCTCTTCTGTGTACCAAAGTTATGAATACCTGAACAAAATGTGCTTATACAGTATAGAAACAACATAACAGACACCACCCAGTTAAAGTTATGAACAAGAATGACATCATTTCAAATCTTCTAATATGGACACCAATGTTTTGAAGAAATGTTATGATTTCATAATTATTTTACAATTGGGAAAGAGTTTGCATCATGATGGTTCCTGCGATCTTATCTACTACTGGCCTACCAATGTTTGAATCATTGTTTTTGTACACACTGAAAATGGGTTTTCTGAAACAAATGAATTTCTCTCATGTAAACAAACATCACAATTCTCTATACATTCCTACAGTATGGGCTGGCTTGATATTACTGACCAAAAGTTGACTGAGTGAATTTTGGAAAATCCCTCCGCAGTGTGTTAGAAGGTTGTTCCTGTTGTAATTTCTGCAACACTTTGTCCGAGACTAACCTGAGTTTCTGCATGTAATCATATGGGAAGTAACAAAAACATCCATTGTATAAAGTATGTCTGTCAAGTATGTTAGCAGAAAATATGAAAATATCCACACACAATAATCTGAGTAATAAATGATCAACAACAGAGAAATATTGTATTTGTAGTATTGGCGTAAAAGCACAATCTGTGTAGTGCCTTCCCTTCTGCCTACAGTAGTTGTGAATCATTTTACTTCAGGTGTGAATCTAACTTGGCGTGTGTACGTGTCAGTGGAAGTTGGCATGAGCGACAGCGTTAAAAGAGAGAACCAAGAGTTTGTACTGGCCTGACTCATCATGTTCTTATCTCAACTCAAGGCTACACTCATCCCATCAGAGTCTGCCTGCTGTTCTCTATTTAGGAGCTGCCAAGTGGCGTAGGTTGTGTGCGCGTGCGTGTGTGTGTGTGTGTGTGTGTGTGTGTGTGTGTGTGTGTGTGTGTGTGTGTGTGTGTGTGTGTGTGTGTGTGTGTGTGTGTGTGTGTGTGTGTGTGTGTAGTGGTGGTGGTGGTGGGGCAGCAGCAATGGCCTTGAAAATCCCCCTGCTAAGATCCCCCCACAGCTGCTGAGGGCACAGGGGACAGTGTGCGCTGTGTGTGTGTAGTACTCCCCTGTGTGTGTGTACTACTCCCCTGTGTGTGTGTGTGTGTGCAGGCATACACACCACACATGTGCATACAAAAATACAGCAGGTCTCACTTATTACAGCTTAAAATGGTCGCAGTGCGATATTCATCTCTGGCGAAGGTGTTCTCTGATTTAACGTTATTACAAAAATAAAGAAATATCCCTTCAAATTAAGTTGTACAGTACTAACTGTTCACATATAATCTTAAGGTAGTACTCTCAGGAGTTAATATGCTAAAGATTGTATGAAAGCTATTAACATGTGCCACCTGGTGGACATTTTGAACAAAAAGTGATTGTTTTATTTTTATAGTAAAGATGGCCTCAGTGGGAATTAACTACTAAAATCATTAGTTGTCCTAGAGTCAATGTTCCTTGATAATGTCAGAAGCTAATATTTCTTGTGATGTACAAGGCAAAGAAAGAAAAACTAATATTAATGAAAATGTTATTAGTTATGTATTTTCTTCTGGTCCCAACAGTGCAGCCTTACATGATTTGCCCAAACATTTAGACTGAGGGTAGACATGCTTCCGTTGCATTACAACACCCCCTGTTTTGTTTTGAGTTTTTCCAATAATAGATATTTTATAGGGACTCACTTGCAATCGTCAATGGCAGCGATCTCGTGTTTGACCTGGTGGAACTCTCTGGCCATCCTGCAGTGCTCCTTGTGCACCTGGACGCTCTCTCTCAAAGACACACAGGGGGGTACTGGCTGCAGGGGGGCAGGGTGAGACGGATCAGAAAGACAAAACAAAACAGATTATGATTTAACACACATTATTTCACACAATCAGTAATATGTCAAAACGTTTCCAACCACTTTCCAACTTCTAAAGAAATTAAAATTGTACTGACATTATTAATTATTACAATGTATGCTACTTGGCTGTATAATGGCTAATTCCTTTACTTTAATGACCCTCTGACCACAGAACCCCAATATCAACATGTACTTTGATTTGATTTTGATTACATTTATTTCACATGTGTAAAACAATAATACAAACATTTAAAATGAGAATTATTATACAATACAAAATTAAGCAGTGCCAAATTGATATACAAAAATATTACTGATTCTAAATTATGTATAAGCAAATAATCTACTTAATTATACATCCGAAAAGGGGTGGGAAGAAGTTTACACTTATTTAATCCCACCCCTTCTCCCAAAAACATATATATATATATTTTCTTTTTTTTTCTTAAAGAAATACATTTGTTATTCAAAAACAAACAAACAAAACAAAAACATAAAACAACAAATAAATAAACAAACAAATAAGCAGATAAATAAACAAACAAACACATACATAACAGAGGTAAATGATAGTCAAGAAAATATTTTTTTTAAACTTCGATTTAATAAAGTATCTCCTTACATTATAAAAATGAGACCTGAACTGACTTGTCTCCATACTGCTTGTATGAGATGAACAAATGCTTTATATCACAAACTTAAAGGCCTTACAGTAGAACACCCTATGGCCCAATGCTAGTGAGCCGCTATAAGCCTGTGGTAGAGTGTATAAAAGCTATTATTCATTGGCCTGTTACTACTGTTCTCATTTGATACTTTAAACCAGCATGCGCTTTATGTAACCCTGGCACTGGCACACGCTGAAGGATAATTCAATGACAACACTAATAGCAGCTTTAGTGCACACAGTCAAGACACTGATTTACAGGGTTGATAAAATTAACTCAGGCTTCTCCTGATGTAGCCAACAGATTCAGAGTCTACCATTAACAGAATAGTAGGGCCATTGCAGTTAAAGTAAAAAATAAATATACAGAGCCGAGAGGAGGGAACTATTCAGAGGAAAGACAATCTACTTAGACTTTAAATTTAAACTTGATGTAAAAAAAAAAAATCAATTATTCTGAAAGCTTTCTCGTACAATCGTGACTCTAACTTCCTGACCAGTATTGTATATTACACATATATACAGTATGTACTAGTATAGTATTACTGTATACCTGTAGTCGCTGTTCAAGGTCTGGGAAAGTCTGAGGGATGTCCTCCACATCTTTTACATCTATTAAAACAGAAGACGTTATTCAGACATGAACAATTAGGAACATGTGCTGAGTTATCAAAGAGTAGTGTTATTATATATTTTTGAATTATTGGCTTATTATTATGCATGCATTACAATGTAAGGGACATTTGGATATTGGTTGAGTTTGGGCTAAATATTTCATATAGTGTTGAGTTATGGTTAGTACATGACAAGAAGTACAAGACAATAGGTTTAGTTTTATTTACTGCTTCTTCCCAGAATGATTTCCTTCATTCTCTCCCAGTACGATATTAAAATCAGCATGCAGATATATGAAACTTGTGGGAGAGAGATTATCTTGTCAGATGTTTGGTATGAATCAGTGCAAGCAGAAATTGCTTTGAACATATTGGAAGCATTGCAGGAAGCTATTACATTAGGAATTGACTACAAAATAATGTTGCAATCATGGGCTACATATTCAAAGTAAACACACGAGTAAAAGTAAAAGAAGTAAGACAAACACTAACAACCATGCTAATCTTGATGGACAATGACAATTACGTATTTCCTTTAATGAATAGGGTTTCTTTTAGCTTTAAAAACACCTTTAACTGCAAGTTGATTTTCATAGGATGCTAAAAGTCTAAATGTATATATGTTTCTATTTCATTAGTATTGCTTGCTGCATGTTGTTGATGTACAGCCAAGTGACTTGTCCGACGAGCAGTTGCTTAAATGCCTTTCCCCGCCTCATAAAATAGACCAAAATGAAACACTGTAGGGGCCTCTTATACGACACCACAACATAGCAACATGCTGCTACGCTTATAAATGAGCCATGTCCTCTTACTGTACTGTACATCAGTAATGAGCTGCCACATTGAATGACATGCAGAGTAAGAACACAAACAGTCCAAATGTATGGACAGAGAGGGATTCAGACAGGCAGCCAGACAGACAGAAACAGAAAGGTTGTCTGCACCAGCCAGTAATGTCCCCCAGGAATTGTGGAACACATGTGGAGAATCCTGGGATGATGCAACCTTCTAAAAGCAGAGGTATCAGTGGGCCAGGCTGCAGCCGCGGGGCCAATTATGATGTGGAATAAATACAGTTCTCATGCTTAGGATTGACACAGTGGTTATAACTATGCCTGGCATGAAGTCATGAAAGCCCCAGAGGATGATCCCTAGATGGAGCACAGGTCCCCTGCCGAGGAGCACGAGTTCAAAGAGGGAACAACATGATCGTCTTGGGAATATCTAAAATTTGATTTTGGAGGGTAGGGTCAGGTTGTGCCTGAGCAGCTCTGGATGGTTTAACTAAAAGTAAAACAAGGCACGTAAGCATGTTACCAAGTATAGTCGTCGCTGGATAGGTATTTGATCCTCAAGAAAAAGGATAGAGAAAAAAACCCATATAAGGTAAAGGGAAACTAAATCTGAATCCACCGATGTAAATCAAAAAGCAAGCTATAAACAGCATTAAGAAATATGCAAATGTAACTCAGTAAGATACATGTTGCCATGAGAAAATGACAAGCAGAATGTCAATGAGTTCAATGAATCATTGCTCAGAGTGGGATTTGAGTGTAGTTCCGGCTACAGCCCTTCATCTCACTTCCTAAGAGAAAGACAAGGGGGATCAGCGATGGGCGGAGTAGGACTGGAAGTGTTAACTGCTTATAAATATAGGCCAGTGTTCTAAAAGCTGAACAGTGAATCAGGCAGCGGGACACTGTTAGTATTAGAGGGAAACCTGACTCTGCCATTTCATAGGAGCAGCTGCTGTCCCAGTGCCCGGCCCCACTCGAGTAAAACATCCTGAAAGACAGTACCTTGTCCCATAGGTAGGACAGACCGCTGAGTTCTGAATTATACAATGAAGTAATCATGGTCACATAAAAGGTTGTGCAATCGCTAGCGTGGTGCAAGTGCACAGCTGCTCACATGCATGTGTGGTTGGTTTTTCATATGCAGGGGTCCTACAGAAATAGAGGGAGCACCTGTCTCAGCTGCAGTGTAGAAGAATGAACACAGTTAAAGGGATAGGGTGTGAGGGAGGAGGGGGTGGGGGTGTGAGGGGCAGATTGTGCCTGGTCTGTTTTGGTAGGAGGAATGCCGTGCATGTGTTCCACACATACTGGAAATGCAGTGAGAGTAGAGCTCCAAGCAATGCAGGTGTTACATTATCTATTGATTAATAGGTTTAACTAAACTCAAAGAGATGTGTTAGTGTCTTTTTTGAGGATGCTGGAAACACAGGTGTGTGTGTGAGCATTTGCAGGTGTGTGTGAGTGCACAGTTAGTTAGTTAGTGTGAGTGTGTTTACCTGATGTGTCTTCGAGGCTGAAGGCGATTCTAACTTCAGATTTATCAGGAGACACTCTTCTGGTTGAGGTGATCATTTATCCCTTCATGGACCCAAGCACAAAACACAGCTGTTAGGGCGAGGGTCTCATGAAAGAGAAGTGATGATGTAATAATGAAACGATCACTGGAATCTGACAGACCTATAATTCATTTAACACATTTAATAAAAAATACAGTTTCAAGATTCCTAAATGTGGGGTTTTCTTGCCTTGCTGTTTTATATAACTGTAAATGTGTGGGGTTTAAACAATTGCTAGGACAGAATAATCTAAAGGTGCTACCTACATTTCTGGGGAAATGTAAGTGGCATTTATTTTTACTTTTATAACAAAAGATAAACCAGTGGTTAAAGTGGTAATTTGATATGTAGTTTATGTGGTGTCCTATCTGAAATGGAAGGCTAAGTATAGTTTTTTTTCATCCCAATATTGTGACTTCAACTCAACTAAACTAAACTAAACAGTGAACTCAGTAGGTGTTGTGTTATTAAACGAAAGCCTGTTCTGATAAACCATGTGATTAATCCACACCTAGGAAAGTATGGGGCTTTATAAACACACACACACACGAACACACACACACACACCACCAGTTTCATCATCCATTTAAAGTTGCAGTGGGATTAAATCATTAGAGAGCTTTGACAGACTGGCTCTGAGGTCTGGATTGTGCCCCCTCTGTAAGGGTAAGGGCTTTTTATATCAGGGGGCATTTGCCTACTTTAACCCTGGTAAACCCTGTCACACATAACATGCCTCCCTGACTTTCTACACTAGCAAATACATAGTTTTTTCAAATGAATGTATCTCTGAAAGGTTAAATGTGCATATATTTGAAGCATTGTTCCACATAATGATGAAGACTACTTTATCCCAAACATATGAAGTATTTCCAGCATGCACTGGAAATGCAACAGGTCATTGTTACCTGAAGCAGCAGCAGGAGCCCGACCAATGAAATTCCTTATAATAAAGTTTGAAATCAGATGGCAGTGTACGTCCTCAATATTGATTCACCGTCTGCTGATGTCTCTTCAGAAAAAACACAAGTCGTACATCAGCATGGCACAACTATCTCTCCAAAAGTTGACCTCAACGTCCCTCTGGAGGCAAAAACGATATTCTTTGGTATTCAGAAGTTCTTCACCATAATAAACGCGTCTCAAGTCTGCGCGTGGACATTGGCATGACATCCACGGAGTGCAGCCACGCGGCGCAGCGCAACACAACAGGGCGCAGGCGGGGGAGGAATGTCTGCTGTCCCCCTGTGGCGGCCTGGGCCCAATTAAATGTCTCGGATGACATGACTTTAGCTCGCAAAAATGCCCATAGCTGCAGCACTGTTTTGAGTGACACGGTCATGCCGATGGGATGGTCTTGAGCTTTGTAATAGCTTTGCAATGAGACAGTTGCTCAGAATGAACATCTCGTGCTATAAAAGCTCTGGCGGAAGAAAATAGAGCAAGAGTGTTTTTCTTTTGGGGGGAGGGATGGTGTTGGCAATGAAGTGCAAGTCCACCTTTACGCAGGTGATAGGCCTATACTTTGTTTATATAAGACGAGTTCCTTGCAATATAAAGCTACATCAAAAATAAATTGTTTGACTTAAAGCCAGGGGGCACTACTCGGAATGTTCACACATGGTCAGTTTACTAAATGTGGCTCTGTGGGAGCTTTAAGTCTATGAAAACATAACCCTGATGATGTCATTATTCAACAAAAAATAAAATAAAAAATATCAACCTTAACCAGACCTATTTGTTTTTAGACAGAAAGACATATGGTGCTTTCCAATACCAATACTATTTAGTGTCCCATGCCAGAAAAAAATGATTCAGTATGTTACTTTATATGTCAAATTCAGTAGCCTATGCCAAATGCTGATTTAGTTCTGGATTTATTGTTTTTACATGGTATTGATTCGTTTTTCAATTTATATGTAATCCAAGCATAAAACTTAAGATATGGGCTTCACAATGTACCCTTCATCTGTTTTGTTTATAGGCTGAACGTGAATGACAAGCATTAATAATAGGCCAAAAACACTGAGTATGGCTCAGTAGTTTTCTCACATTGTTACGTCTGAGGGTTTTTCCTCATATTCTGATTAAGTGCAATTTTCTGAAGTTTTATATGAGGCCAGTTCACCTACACACCACCAGATGAGAGCATTGCCCCTGAATTATATACAGCCAGGCTTTTCCACAGTAGGAGAGAAAGAGAAACCCAGAGAGACAAACAGAGATAGATAAATAATGCTCTGTTCCTTTCAAAGCCCTCCTCCTCGTTTGTCTTCATTGACAGGCTGATGACACAGACCTGCTTTATCAGCCCCAGAGACTGTTCATCTCATTGTGATGGATGGGACCCACTCAAACGTCTGCCACTCTTTTACGTTAGAGACACGATTTGGACAGTTGAGAGCCTTGAGTAGTGATACTTAAAACCATACTTGACAGGTTTTAAATGAAAGGTATAAGATATGAGGCACAAGTCTGAAGTGCTTCCTTTTGTTTTTCTATGCAGTTGGTTTTACAGAACATATTGTCTAAAAGTAGCCAGAGTTTTCTGTGCTTTATTGACCTTTCCTGGACGCTCATTTTGGACATGTTTAAATGTCAACAACAAGCTCTTTGAACTGTCTCTTCAATATTTCTCTAGAATATTATCTCAATCTCTTTCTGATAATCTGTGCAAGAGGTATAGAAGTTATAGATCATAATCTCTGACCTTCTTACTGACGGCGCAAACAGACAGATGCCACAATCCCTTTATCTCTCTCTCTATTTCTTTTTCACCTCTTCCACTAGGTTGGGGGCTCTGCGTTTCACGATCATTAAGACAAACACACGTTTCTGTGGGAGGAACAAACAGGGACAAAAAGACAGGTGAAGAAATATTGACTAACAGCACAACATTGTTCAGGTGAGGTCATCTCATGTTAGTAAAAAGGAGAAGCGTCCTGCTCAGCAGTGCAGATTGCAAAACCAGAGGAGTAATCCACGGCTCCCACGGATTAGATAATGATAAAAAAAAATACTGCCTTTGGTTTTGATTAAGAATTATGGGGTTAGGAGATTAGAGACAACCACACACTATTACATTGGACTGAGGGAGCCCAATCCCAGAATTAATCTGAATACCAAAAAGGAGAAAACTCATTACATGGAGAGATTAAGAAAACTCAGTCCAATTCTCTCAGGATGCATGTAAACCAGTGCACACCATGCACCTAGAGAAATGTCAAAACAAAACCTCTGGCTCGAGTCATTTATAAAGATCCATTTGTTGCTCTTTCTTGTTGGAAATGTCATTGCATTAGCTGGTAAATGCTACAGTAGGTCAGTTTTGAGTGTCCTGACATTATTGATAATGAATTGTATTAAGCGCGTAGGGTGCTTCAATAACATTTGATCTATTCCACACTATGGCAGTATGAGTTGTTTGTATTTCTTTCTTGATTCTGGTTGTACTGATGGTAGTGTTTCAAGAAAAAGGCAGGAATACTGAAATGCCAAAACAAAACCTCTGGCTCGAGTCATTTATAAAGAATTTGGATCCATTTGTTGCTCTTTCTTGTTGGAAATGTCATTGCATTAGCTGGTAAATGCTAGATCAGTTTTGAGTGTCCTGACATTATTGATAATGAATTGTATTAAGCGCGTAGGGTGCTTCAATAACATTTGATCTATTCCACACTATTTGGCAGTATGAGTTGTTTGTATTTCTTTCTTGATTCTGGTTGTACTGATGGTAGTGTTTCAAGAAAAAGACAGGAATACTGAAATGCCGACTTGAATAAGCTTTTCCAAAAAACACACAGTAGTACACTTCAAGTCCACTGACAGAGTACAAGGCAGGTGACACACTCAGACGTTAAGAGTAAAGCGGCAGAGGAAGCACAGGAAGTAGATGCTGATAGAGAGAAAAGATTAAAAGGGGTTTGGCATGATGTGCCAGAGAGAGAACGCTCTCTGACCTTCCTCTTCTTTCACTGATTAAATAATTTTACCCTCAGGTCAGCTTACAGAGGACAGAAACAATCCCGATGATATGGAGGAGCTCTTAATGTAGCATTCAGATCAGAACACAATGCAAATGAGGAAGATGTACAGGACTTGTCAAGGAACAACGTAATTGATTCCTTTCTGTATTCATGCTGCAGAGAGGTGATTGTGCTCCAGCTGTTGAGAACATATCCATCCTTCATTCTGATAACCTGCAGAGCAGAGGTGATGCATTTTTCTGGTTTGAATTTGTAATAAAAAAAGAAGCAAACTTTGATTTGTGTGTAGGCAGATTGGAATTGTAAATCACATCAAACTAATTTAAATTAGGTTTTCATGAAACTTATTTTCAGCAGCTATACATTAATCTTTTTTAAAGTGTTTTAACAGTATGGAACCCACTTGGTCTTCCAAAATAAGGTTATTAATTTATGCCCATGTTTCCTAATCGCATCATAAATTATAATGAGCTTCAAATATTCCGGTAGGTAAACATTTACAGTAAGCATGTGGAGTAAAGCTTTTCACTTTATAAATGCACACGTCTACTGAGATTCAATTCTGGGAGACAAAATCTCCCCTAAGGCTTTCAAATGTCTACAACTGCAGACAGAGAAAAATATTGAAAAATAAACTATTACTCCTAGGGGAACCAAAAAAAATGTCTTTGCCCTTCTAAGAATTTCACACATTGAAAAAGCTGCTTCTCATTTCACCTTTCCTTCAGCCCGTATTACAATCTTTCTCTGATGCAAAGAGGCCAATATTTCATGATCACAAGCATTTGACGGGCTGTGTGTTTGTGCGAGTATGTGTTCGGAATGGGGATTTGCTGTCTGCGATGTCGGTGCTTGAAGGGCATAAAACAGCAGGTGTGTTCCTTACTTTCCTTAGAGGTCCTTATCTTTTTTCACTGGCCAGGGTTGGCTCAGCAATAGGCTATGAAGATACTCTGCTGCCTGCCAGTAGGCACACAAGAGACACACGCACAAACTGCTGCCAAGCATAAACAACAAGCATCAGTCATTGGTTTAAAA